ACAGAAGCGTTGGAGTTAGTCCGTAAGAGATTACAGGATGACCCCAACCTCAGCAGCAGGACCACTCTCAGCATCCACCAAGTGTGTTTGAACTGTGTCTTCACTCCACCTACTTCACATACAAGGCTCAGTTCTACAGGCAGAAACATGGGTGTGCCGTGGGCTCCCCAGTTTCACCCATCGTGGCCAATTTGTACATGGAAGAAGTGGAAAAGAGGGCTTTGTGATCCTACCCTGGAACACCAACGGTGATCAATGGTCATGGAATTTGCATAATTATGATTAAGGAACTGACCTCCCAGCCCATTGTTCCTTCAGTGGGCTGGTTTCAGTCATTATGCAAATGTCCTGTATATAAGATTGAAACCTGCAGTCAGCTGAGACTGAAGACGTCACCTGGATGATGACAAAACGTTTCTCCCACAAAACGCTACGTCCAGATGAACAGAATCAGCTTTTGGAGATTTACTTCCCTGGATGATTGAGATGCATCAAGACATATGACGACATAGCCTCTGTGACATCACGCAGAGCAGGAGTAGAAAAAGTGTGCCAAACAGAGTGTTGGGAACAGAGGCATGGCTCATTTCTGACGTTTTTCTTTTTAGGTAGGTCAGAATTTTATCTCAGGAAGTGTTTTCTGAAATATTACTGTCGCCTCTCACACGCTCTGGGCTTTCCATTCATCTCTTTCCACCTTCTTAGCAACAGGGTAATCAGGGCATTCCAGATGTCTTTCCTCCAGTTTTCCAGGTCCTGCTGTGGGATCTTTAGGCGCTCTCGGGCCAGACAAATTATATAATCTCTGTGAGTCGTGATCTGGGATCAGCGCCACAGACAAACACATCCTGCAGATGATGAGGTGAAGGTAGAGCAGGTCATCTACTGATCAGAAGGTTGGTGGTTCGATCCCAGGCTCCCCCAGTCTGCCAGCCAAATATCTTCGGGCAAGATACGGGGCGATCGTGGCTCAAGAGTTGGGAGTTCGCCTTGTAATCGGAAAGTTGCCAGTTCGAGCCCCGGCTTGGACAGTCTTAGTCGTTGTGCCCTTGGGCAAGACACTTCACCCGTTGCCTACTGGTGGTGGTCAGAGGGCCCGGTGGCGCCAGTGTCCGGCAGCCTCGCCTCTGTCAGTGCGCCCCAGGGTGGCTGTGGCTACAATGTAGCTGCCATCACCAGTGTGTGGATGTGTGTGTGAATGGGTGGATGTGTAAAGCGCTATATAAATACAGGCCATTTACCAAGATACTAACCACAAGTATGTCTGCGATGCATCCATCAGAGCGAATGTTACCTAGTTAGCACCTAAAGCATAGAAGAAAGTGCTTGTGTGGTTGCACGGGTGTTGGTGGAGGGATGGGGGGGTGTAGCATGTTTGAGCGTAGAAAAGCGCTGTGTAAGAATCAGTCCATTTACCAGCTCATGAGCGGGTCGGTAACTCTGCTCCACCGCCGTGACACCTCCACCTGAACATCACTCCACCTCCAACCAAATGTCACACCTCCACCTGAATGTGTTTTAAAGGGCTGAACAGAAGAAGAAGAATCTCCACCCCAAGCTCAAACAGACAGGTGGGCACACACGCATTCTCTTTTTCATATCTTAATGAGAGCCTCTAAGCTTTCCCAGCTGCTTACCGAACCATCAAAAAGAACCTAACCATAACAAGCACAGGAACGTTCCCATTTTTAGTACCCACAAAGATGTCTAAACAGGTACACACGCACACACACACAGGGGGACTCACTTGCCCACGAAGTTCTCGAGCACCGAGCTCTTGCCGGCGCTCTGACCGCCCACCACCGCGATCTGCGGCAGGTCGAGGCTGGAGTTCTGGCCGATGGCGGAGAAGGCATCCTGCAGCCGGTTCACCAGCGGGATCAGCTCCTCCATCCCCCGGTTCCCCATGGCGGAGAGGCGGGCGGAGACAGGCGGAGGCTGCTGGTGTGTCTCGCTGCTGCTGTGACCGATCAGCGGCCGATGATCGATCACAGGATCGATCGATGCTGATGATGCTGCTCCAGCTGTGACCTTCAGCTCGTTCTCCTCCTCCTCCTCTCTGCTCCGCTGCAGGGAGGCTCCAAGCACGCTCGCAACCACACACTTCCGGTGCAGCCCTTCACAATAAAACCCCAGCCAGACAGGTTTGTAAGTTCTGACCCGGAGTCCTGAAAGTTGATTAACGCCAGCGAGTGTTCGCTCTTCACCTGCTAAATCCCCATGGTAACGGATGCTGAGCACATCACCTGGTCAGGTGAAGGCCAGCTTTATAGCTCTAGCAGGTCTCACTGCATGTGTATTCATGTTCACATTGCCATGCTGATGCAGGGGAGGATTCTTACCTACTGCTGCAAACACAGAACACACACCTGAACACCTGATCAACCAATCACATTCATTCTCTCTGATCTGATTTCATGTCTCCTTCATTGGGCGGGACAGGAAGCTGTAATGTTTCCATGGATAGAGTCTCTAAAGTCTTGCAGCCGTCACCTATGACAGCAGCTCTGAGCGCTCAGACAAAGTCATTGTCTGCCATTCAAATCTGTATTATAGCACTCGGTCACAAATCACCAGATTAACGATACTCTGCTTGTTCTTCTGTCAGATCATTTACCTGGTACAGATTTTCAGGTTTGATCATCAGTGTTGTCTCATAACGTGTCCGACTGGAGTAGGGGGCGCTCGCAGGGATTGCTGCAGAGACTAAAACCCACTGGAGGCGCTGTTCGCACCTCTGTGGGTGGTAAACCCAGGCTAGCTTTCTGACAATGAACTAGAACAGATTTTGTGTGATCAAAGGTGTGCACGCTGAGCTTCTTTTTCAGGCTTCTGATTGGCCAGTATTACTGCAGGCTGGGTTGGGGTTATATCGCCCCCTGCTGATTTCTCTGAGGCACCTGTCCAGGTGTGACTTTGCCTCTCAACGCTGGGTTTTCTTCAACTGAGCAAACGACACATTAGTGGAAACAACGAGCTGCAGACATGACAGGAAGTGACACGTGCTCTGCTTCTTACCTTTGCTTGCCTCGCTGTCATTGTCAGTTTACAGACTTTTCTTGTCACAGATTCAGATTTTTGGATTTGTGTCAGGATTTTTACGTATATTTAACAACACGTTCAGACTGCTGTACTTTTACTGTGAAAGAACCAGGCCTGACGTCCTGTACTACCTGCAGCAGTTTGCAGTTCCCCGGTGGGACGACAGGGGCGCTGCAGATGATCTGTTCAATGAAACCAAAACTGATCAATAACGATCAGCAGGAGCAGCTCTGATGATGAAACACATTACTTACTGATTATGGATACAAGGAGCCAATCAGATTTTATTTTATTTTTATTTAGGACAGTGCATGTTAATGAACATACATGTAAAAAAAATTACAATGTATGTAAACATACCAGATTATTATATTTCCATCTGTTGTCCATAAAACATAAAAAAATAGACATAATGCTGTCCGTCTGTGGGGTATAAACACGTCTCTGTGGGTTGTAGCTCGAGTGGTCCGGTCTGAGCTTTCTTTACGCCTAATGAACTGCTTCAGTGGTGGTGGAGCAAGGGAGTGTAAGACTTTATATATTAAACACACTCTTTTAAGTTTCACTAAGTTATTGAAGTTCAGTAATTTTTGTTTTTGGTGGTGGGAAGTCGGTTTTTTGTCAAGTAGTTTTAAACGTCTTTTATAAATGTTTTCAATAGTTTTAAGTGTTGTTGGACAAGCAAGTGACCAGGACGTCAAACAATAGTCCATATGAGAGATGATCATTGAGTAAAAATAAGTTTTTGCTACATTCATATTTAAATTATTACGTATATGATTAAAATTTCGATTATTAAATTTAAGTACCTGGGACACTTTATTTATGTGACTCTTGAAGGATAATGTTGGGTCTAGAATGACCACAAGATATTTAAATTCTGGAGCTAATTCAAGCTCTGCTCCATCCAGGAATACGTTTGACTGCTTCAAGTTTCAGGGGCGTTTTGAAAAATACATGCAGACAGTTTTTGAGGTGTTCAACATTAGGCATGAGTCCTCCAGCCAGCTATGCATTAATGCTAAAGCAGCTGTAAGATCTTTTGCCACCAGCTGGACACTATTTGCTTGCGTATATATAACTGCATCGTCCGCATACATTTGAGTAAATATATTTGGAAAGACTTCAGGTAAGTTATTGATAAAAAGAGAGAACAATAAAGGCCCAAGAACAGATCCTTGAGGAACCCCTGTATCACAGTCTAAATATGGAGATTTAACTCCATCCAACACCACACACTGTTTCCTGTGTGAGAGATATGAGGCAAACCACTGAAGAGCCTGACTGGAGATATTAAACCGAGTCAATCTGCACATCAATATCTGATGGTTTACAGAGTCGAAAGCCTTCTTCAGATCTAAAAATACAGCTCCAACACAGGGACTCTTGTCCAGCAGGCTCTTCAAGTTCTCCACTAACATACACAGGGCAGTATCTGTGGAGTGATGTGCCCGAAAGCCAAACTGCAATGGATGTAATGAGGGTTGGGTGTTTTCTAGGTGTGCAGTGAGGAGTTTAACCACCCACTTCTCAGCTATTTTAGATACGACCGGGAGTATGCTTATGGGGCGATAATTAGCCATGTCAGTCTTCACACCTGCTTTGAAAATTGGTGTAACTGCAGCAATTTTCCAATCTGTTGGAACAATGGAGTGTTTGAATGACATATTCAAAACATGAGCTGTTGGACGTACGAGCAGATCCATATGTTCCTTTAGGAAATTTGTGTTAATACCAAATACATCAAGTGCTTTTGATTGTTTTAAACCTGTAATTAGTTTAGCAACTTCAGTGTCTGAAATATGAGTGATGGTGAACAAAATCCTGTGTGGATGAATCTGCGCTGGGATCAGTGACACACACACACACACACACACACACACACACACACACACACACACACACACACACACACACACCCTTTCTTTGGTGAAACTTTCAAGGACACCACGACAGACGGCTGTCAGCACTTTTATTGTCTCACACATGAAACTCTTCATCATCATCATCAATTATTCAAAGCTTTTTCATACTGTTTGCTCAGTGGACCAAAAGTATGTGGACAGGTGTTCCCGCCAAAGGGAGGAGTGACTTCGATGTGACACTCGCCATGTGAAAGCAGCAGGAAGTCCATCAGGCAGTAAAGTTTCATCCAGTGAAGCTGATAAACAGTTGCTCTCTTTCACCAGAAACTAAGCAACATGGTTGCACGGTGATTGACAACATTTAGGGCGGGGCTAATGATGAATGAGGACTCGGCCCCATGAGGGTTTCTCTGTATTTAAATGCGTGTTCAGCCAATCAGACGGCTCATTAACCCTGGCTCCATTCATCAAACCGCGCCCACACAGTCAATGAGATTCACTGACATGTCACATGACAGGCATTGCTCGCTTTGACAGTGTGTTTAATCGCAGTTTCTAAGTGTAACGTGCTGACATCACTCCATGTGATCGTCCAATGGGAACGTCTCACTGACATGTGACACATTCAAAACTGGACTCTGACACCACTTCCTGTTTGTTTAAAATCAGCTAAAGACTAAAACCATAAATAAACGTGCTGACCAATCAAACGCAGAGTGACGCCGAGGTGTTCAGGTCGCCTCAGAAACGGCACCAAGACATCGGCCAGTTTTTCGCTATACAAGAAGAACTTAAAAAACACTTGAAGACTCTGAATCTGCTTCTTCCTCCCAGGTGCACCTGCAGCAGGTGAGCCAATGTTTACATGTTGATCTGTAATCCAAAGTTCCAGGTGACTCAGTCCTGGTCCTGGGGCAGCTTGACGAAGGCGATGGCAGCAAGCTCCTTGCAGAACTCCTCGAGGACGATGACTCCTTTGAGCAGGGTCAGGTGATCCAGTCTGTGGACACACCCACAGGAGAACTCAGGTGAACACAGGACCAGCAGCGCTCACAGTCAAAACAGCTGAGTTCAGTACAGGTGGAGTCTGGAGTACGACGGCAGACTGCACAGGGCTGCAGCTACTGATCACCGAGTAATCGAGTAAGAACATTTTTGTCTTATTAATGAGCGATAATAAACACACAAAGAGAGAAAACTTCTTATTTGTAAGCACTTGAAACAGTTTTTATATCATTTCAAAGCCTTGTAATAAATCTAGGGCTCCTCGCGCCCCCCTCTAGACTCACGCCTGTACACTTCCATGTAAAACGTGACGGCTGCCGTCAGCCTGGAGCGAACTGTGGGGTTAAAACATGCCTCAGATTATCTGGAGAGCTGTGTGTGTGTGTATGACACAAGCGGCGGTGGGTGGAGCCTACTTCACATCACGGTTTGTTGAGGCTCCGACTCCTGCAGCTCTTTCCCAGTCAAGGTTCTAATGGTGGACACCATGTTTCCTGTCACGCTACCGTCTCCCTAACGGCTCCGCCTCTATGCTGTTCCCGCCTCGTTTCTACTGCAGCAGCTTTCACTCGAAACGCTCGTGTTTCCGTCATTAACACATTAAACAAGCATCAAAGAAGAATTTGTGCAGAGACATTTTATAATCGAGTCACTCGATGAGTCGCTGCAGCCCTGGTAAGTGTGTTTACGGCGCCAGGCGTGGCTGGAGTGAGGTGTTACAGCAGGTAGTTACCCGGGGTCGTGCGGCAGGCCCAGCAGCGCTCTCCTGGTGTTCAGCAGTCGCTCGCTCAGGTTAGAGACCTGCTGGATCCTCTGCATCAGCTCTCCCATCACCTGGCACACACACAGGTGATAAAACAGACATGCCCTAACTTAAAAACAAATGCATGGCCCCGCCCTCCTCTGGAGAACGTGTCTCACCCTGATGAGGACAGAGAAGAGTGACCTGGAGGACTGAGACAGGTGTATGTAGGGGTTGAGCAGGTACTCGTGCAGCAGAGGGTGGCTGAACGCCGACAGCCTGGAGAGAACAGCCGTCAGCTGCAGGTTCAACTCGTACGGCTGCAAACACACGACATCATCGTCATCACCTGCACAGGTGAGCCAGGGGGAACCACGCAGGGCACAGGTGTGTGTCTGTGTACCTGCTCCAGGAGGCGTCCCAGACGGTCAAAGAGAACTTTTAGCAGGTGACCTTCAAAGAAGGAGGCGGAGTCTTTACCTGACGACAGGGAAAGGGGGGGGGGAGTAAGCGGCCAATCCCAGGACAGCGAGAGAGCCTGACACTCGGTCACCTGAGGAAATGGGAGGAGTCAGACAGGGTTTGACTGTAGGGTCAGAGACCAGTGACAGCTGTGTGTGTGTGTGTCTTCTGACCAGTGTGTGAGCGTCGTGGACGTACGTCTCGTATCCTCCTTCCTGCAGCAGCTGAGACGACCGCACCTGAACAGGAACCAAACACAGGAAACTACACACACACACACACACACACACACACACACACACACACACACACACACACACAGTCGTGTTTTGTTCCTCGGGTTAACTCGTTACTCTCTGTGCGGCGCAGCTTCAGGTGCGTTACCTGTTGATGACATCATCAGCTGTCTGGGGTCCGGGTGGAGGAGGCGGAGGGGGGTGGGGACTGTCTGAGAAGGTCAGGCTGTCGGAAAAGAAGGGGTCGTCCTCTGGGTCTCTGACACACAGGAAACGCATCATCAGCCGCGGACAGCTAAGACACAGGCCAACCCGCCACACATGAAGCACCTACTCGCTGTCCTCGCCACTCTCCGTCTGCCGCTCCTCCTGTGCCGAGGCCGGTGGACTCAGGTAACTCTGAGTGTGCAGGAAACTCAGCACCAGCACGTCCAACACGTCCCTGTGAGGCTTCTGGAGCAGCTCCTCCACCAGACAGAGCGACACCATGCTGATCTGAGGACACACAGTCGTTTTTATGCTTCCCGTCTCTGCACTCTAGCTAGCTGCAGGTGTCAGCTCGAGTGGGCGTGCTCTCACCTGGTCAGAGATGTGGTCGCAGCGGCGCAGCAGCGGCTGAGCGGCGTCGCTCCGCAGCAGGAAGTGGACGAGCTGATCCAGCAGGGATGAGGACTGGACGAGCCTGACAGTGGCACAGAGGACGGAGGTGGAGCCCAGCACCACCTGCTCACACCTAAACACACACAAACACACACCTAAGATCTGATAGGACCCCCACTTCCTGTGAGGAGGATGACGATGGATGATGAAGGACTCACGTGTCCAACAGCTGAGGCTGAAGAAGCTCCACCAACCAGAGCTGATGAACACACACAGCCAACTTCACTGACAACACCTGCAGACACACACACACGCACACACACACACACACACACGCACACACAGAGTGAGGTGTGAGTGGAGATTAGATGGTTTTGTTAGCTTAGCAGCAGTGTTAGCATTAGCACTATCAAATGTATCTTGATGCAATCACCCAGGCACGGAAACGAGTTGGTTCTGTTCATCTGGCAACAACGTAGCAACAACCACTGATTGATGATCACACACACACACACACACACACACACACACACACACACACACACACACACACACACCTGTTTATGCTAATGATCATAAACTGAGCTGTTCACCAGTGCTGCTCGTGTCAGCTATTGTGCAGATGTCCTGCTTACGAGGTTGGAGACCTGCAGTCAGCTGATGATGAAACCTTTTCTACGTCCAGATGAACAGAAGCAGCCTTTGGGAACCATCAGCTGTACTACAGCGCTGAGGATCATGACATCATCAGCTTGACGCATCATGGGACCGTGGTTAACACGAGCTGGCGATGGAGCAGACGCAGGTAGAAGCTGAGTTTACTGTGAAAGTTAAATCGAGGACATTGCCCAATATGTGCAAATAAAGAATAGTAAGTCACCCCATCTTCACTGTACACGAGGCATCCCTCAGTTCAAGTCTAGGCCCCTGGTTATGTTCACCCTATGACTTGCTCAGTGTGTGCAAAAATGTAGACACAATTATTTATGCTGATGATACGGTAATTGTTACACAAGCCAAACTGCTGATGATGCAGCCCATCAGCTTTCATTGGCATTACATGATTTACAAAAATGGCGGAATGACTCATGTCTGTGCCTTTGTTACGGCCCTAGCAGGGCCTCCTCCTGAAGGTGCCTGTGTGGGCGTGTCCCACCACTTCTTCTGCCTGAGGTGCCACCTTTCCCTGTAACACAGCTGACTCACATCAGTAATTAAAAGTATTTAAGCCCAGGGAAAGGTGAGCTCTGGGCCAGAGTGCCATTCTGTGTGGTGTTTGCAGCTAGTGAGCTGTCTGTGTTTTGTGGTGTTTGCAGCTAGTGAGCTGTCTGTGTTTTGTGGTGATTGCAGCTAGTGAGCTGTGTTTGTGGTTTCCAGCTAGTGAGCTGCGCTTTCCTTTTGACTTTGCTTTATTGACCAACGCCTGAGTTTTGTTTGTTTTTCTTAAATGGTGATAGCGGCTTGTCCGTCTCTCTTAGTTGAGCTACTTTAATAAAACTCTTTAATTTAACCCTTTTGCCTCCTTGACTCCTTTTTCTGACCTGGACACCTTTTGTTACTTCCCCCTCACCGCCTAGACCCCTCAGGGGAACGTAACAAGTGGGGGCTCGTCCGGGATCGTTGAAAAGGGAGTTTTGAGTTGGAATTGGTTTTTGATTATCTTGGGGTTTTTTTTTTCGCCTTTAGAGGTTCAACTTCCCAGTTAAGTTAGGTGAGTGTCCAGCTGAGCTTATTAAGTTCTTCCTTCGGGCACTATTTTGTTATTTTGCCTTTTTTATTTTCGGAGTAATCCTGGGCGGGTATTAGTTCCCTGTTGGGGGTAGGCAATTCAGGGCCCCGGTCGCTGAAGTTCTGCCTTTCAAGTCGCCTCGAGCCCAGCACGCTCCAGAAGATAGGTAGGTAAAGGTTGTTGTGCTTAGGAACTGGGTAAGTTGTGTTTGTTTATTGTGTATGCTGTAAGAGGTCAGTTGGTCAGTTAAACTAAGTTGTGTAGTTTCTGAGTGAGTTGGCAGACGGGTGTGGTAGTGTCCTAATTAGGGTGTTTTCTAACCCTTCTCCGGCCCCCAAAATGGCTGATGAAGCCATCAGTGCACAGGTGTCTAGAAGCTCGTTTGTAAGCAATAACATCCACCTGGTTCCCGTTTTCTGTGAATCCAGTGTTGAGAGCTTCTTCAGTGTGTTTGAAAGCATAGCAACTGCATTACAGTGGCCTGAAGATGTGTGGGGGGTGATGTTGCTGTGTAAATTCACAGCTAAGGCTCAGGAAGCTTGCTCTGGTCTGTCTATGCAGGACAGCCTAGTTTATGAAAAGATTAAAAGTGCCGTCCTCCAAGCCTATGAACTTGTGCCTGAGGCCTATAGGCAGAACTTTCGAGGTTTGGAGTTGGCACAGGGTCAGTCCTACCTTGACTTTGCTCGGGAGAAGGCAAAGCTTTTTGGTAGGTGGTGCTCTGCAAGCCAGGTTAACAGTTTGGGGTCGTTACGTGAGCTCATGCTTGTGGAGGATTTTAAAAACTCTGTTCCTGAGTCTATTTCTTGTTATTTAAGTGAGCAAAGGGTTTCCACTCTACAGCAGGCTGCCATACTGGCGGATGGGTTTACCCTAACTCATAAAACAAACGCGGTGGAATGTGACATCCCTTCTCACGGTAACACATCTTGGAGAGCTAGGAGGGAGCCAGCTAACAAGGCTGAAAAAGTTGTGGTTTCGAGACCCAAAACGAAGCTTTGTTTCTTCTGCCACAACCCTGGACACCTCATTGCTGACTGTTCAAAATTGAAACTCAAACGGAAAGCCGACTCAAAGCAACAAGTGCCTGCTTTGAGAAAAGCTAGTCGTGGTTCTCAAACCGACAAGGTTGCCAGGCCTAGTAAAAGGCTACACTTGGAGCATAATTGCTCAATCGTGTCATTTAGTCAGTGTGAGAGGTCACCTAACCCTGAGCTGCTGCTGGTTGACAATGTCCCCGTTCCTCAACATGACCTGCAGGTGGACAGATCATGTATAACACCACCACTCAGACCTGCACCCCTGACTAACAAGCATGCCTGTACCCGTGACCTGAGCAATCATCTGAAAACTGTTGCAGTAAGGTCTTCTGACTGCCTGCTGTGTTCTCCACATGTGATGGCTCAAAAAAGCCCTAGCCACCACATGAGACATTGTTTTGAGGGTCTGCGGCCACCCTCAGTCAGTATTTTGAACCCGTTGAGATGGGGTTGGCAGCTTCCGCAGGCAATGCCTAACCGTTGCTATGGGGTTTGGTAGGTGGAAAGCCTGCAATTTGTTGATGCGATGGTTACGGACTTGATTAGTTGTTTTGGTTATCATAATCATTTGACAAACCACGGGTTTGTATTTATGGGAGGGGGTGTTACGGCCCTAGCAGGGCCTCCTCCTGAAGGTGCCTGTGTGGGCGTGTCCCACCACTTCTTCTGCCTGAGGTGCCACCTTTCCCTGTAACACAGCTGACTCACATCAGTAATTAAAAGTATTTAAGCCCAGGGAAAGGTGAGCTCTGGGCCAGAGTGCCATTTTGTGTGGTGTTTACAGCTAGTGAGCTGTCTGTGTTTTGTGGTGTTTGCAGCTAGTGAGCTGTCTGTGTTTTGTGGTGATTGCAGCTAGTGAGCTGTGTTTGTGGTTTCCAGCTAGTGAGCTGCGCTTTGCTTTATTGACCAACGCCTGAGTTTTGTTTGTTTTTCTTAAATGGTGATAGCGGCTTGTCCGTCTCTCTTAGTTGAGCTACTTTAATAAAACTCTTTAATTTAACCCTTTTGCCTCCTTGACTCCTTTTTCTGACCTGGACACCTTTTGTTACTTCCCCCTCACCGCCTAGACCCCTCAGGGGAACGTAACAGCCTTAATATGGTAAATGGCCTGTATTCATATAGCGCTTTACTAGTCCCTAAGGACCCCAAAGCGCTTTACATATCCAGTCATCCACCCATTCACCCATAATGTTAAAAAGACCGTATCAGTGATCTTTAGTAAAACTATAACAACCGTGGCTGCAGTGAAAGTTCGCTTGGGTGCACAAGAACTAATTATTGTTGAGGAATTTAAGTATTTGGGAGTGCTGCTAGACTCAAAATGATCCTTTTAAAGAACACAAACAAAGTAGTGAAAACTGTAAATGTTAACATACAGAACTTTAGACATATCCGCACATCATTAACAGACACAGCAGCGACTACATTGCTGCACTCTATGACACTGGCTCATATTGAATTTATATAGAGAGATATAGATAGAGAGATATATTGAATCATATTGGTAATTTACAAAGTTATACATGGTCTGGCGCCTCCACCAATGAGTGATTTTATTAAAAGTCTAGCAGTGTTGCCTTGACTGACCCGAGCCACTGTGAGAGGGGATTGTGAATCTGCATTTAGACCTTTTCACAGATGCTCTGTCATATCAGGGAGTGAGCTTCTGGAATAGTCTTCCTTTGCTAGCGAGGGAAAGTTTCCCTCTCTGTAAGAGTCACTTAAAGGGCGGCTGAGGGACACAATAACATGTGATCATGGTTAGTAATCATGCTTCATATTGGACGTGAAAAAGAGTTAGTGTATTACAAAAAGGGAAACCACTATTAGTGTAATGTGTGAGTGCAATATCAGCACAGTCAGGGCATGTGCAACACTGTGCAATATAACTGATGTGTTTCCGTTCTCTATACTGTCCTCTGTTGTGCATTCTTGTTGTCATTGTTTGTTCTAATATGATGTGATCACTTTTTTTGTCCTTGTCACATGACCACTAAAAAGTGTCTCTGTATGTTTTTCCTAATGTGTGTGTAACAGCAGCCTGCCAGAGGGTCTGCAGATGGAAATAAGCCCAAGGCTGCAATCTGGCATAATTACATTTGTTAGAATGTTCATTAAAAAAAAACAGCGGGCTGCTGTAGCAGCGCGGTGTGAGCGGACTATCAGCTGGACAGAGGACGTCTCAAAGGACGTGCTGACGGTGCAGGTGAGCTCGCGAACATTTAGCTGTTTACAGCCTTTGACACACGGCGAGGACAACACGGAGAAAGAGCCTGCAGACTGGAAGCATCCTTTGGTCACATGACACTAAAGCTTTCTGCCCACAGACAGTGAGCTGTGTAATGTGAGGCTACAACCCAAAGACCGGCCTCTTCCACAGTCAGCTCACAGTCGGCCCACAGTGAGCCCACGGTCAGCTCACAGCGAGCCCACGGTCAGCTCACAGCGAGCCCACGGTCACGGTCCCTGCCAGGAGAGCGTCACACCTGGAGGACCTGAGACGGTCCAAAGATTGCTCAGGTCATGAGTGTGAGCAGCACGGCGAGTCGTTCGCACCCTGGATGCTGCAGGAGAAATTCATCGCTCTGTTTAGCGGCACGCAGGAAAAACTGAAGAGCTCGTCACAGTCGCACACACCCGAGTGTGAGCTTGAACCTGTTGGATGTGCGCACCTTTGCAGGAGCTCATTTAGACGAGTCTTCCTCCGTATCACCTGTTGGTTTCTCTGTTTACATTTTGCGTGGACAGCATGGCAGCAGCTACCCACAAAGCACTGGCATCCCTCAGCATTATTAGCATTACTAGCAGCTGTGTACCTGTCATGGTAGTATTACCTGTGGTGCCTGTCTCATCAGGTGATCCAGGAAGTCCAGCCAGCAGAAGAAATTGATCATGTGACCCACAGACTGTGAGCTGGGGTCAGTGCTGAGGTGAGAGAACTGAGAGCTGAGGGGAAGAGGAAATGCTGCAGTACACCAGTCTGCAGTACTGCATCGTGCACTACTGTGTGTGTGTGTGCGCGTGTGTGTTCTTACCTCCAGGGCGTGTGAGGCCAGCTCTGCAGCTCTGCAGCGTCCTCCATAGGCAGCAGGGAGTAGAGGTCCTGCAGCCTCACAGCCAGCAGCTCTCCCAGCTGGGTGTGAGTGCTCAGCAGCTCCCCTGAGAACCCAGCCTGCAGCCCGCAGAGCAGCAGGAGGCTCTCGTGGGCCTTCAGACACACTGAGGTGCTCTGTGAAGGGACAGTGATGAAGCGCTCCGTCATTAGTGCAACACACAGGGTCGCTGCCGCTGACTGCGATTGGTCAGAGCTCACAGTGCTGCGTGCTGACGTCTCTGCTCGTCAAAACTTTCTGTCATCTTTCATTTTCCAGTTATTCAGACGGCACCTGAATGCACCGCGAGATGTTCGGGTTACTGACCTGGCTCTTAGTGAGACCCAGCAGGGCCCTCAGCAGACAGCTCTCTGATTGGATGGGGCCGCAGGGCAGCGGAGGATCTGTCCCCCGACTGGATGCCTGCATGCTGCTCTCTGATTGGTCAGAGCTCAGTGTACTGCTTACTGGTTGGTCTGGAAGCTGAAAACAAAGATAAAAGTCATGTGATAATGAGCTCACATCACGTGACAGGAAGTGGACCTAAGACCTTCTGAGGTTACCTGTAAGACGTATCTGAGCGTGTGGGGATCCTGCTTCACTCTGGAGCAGACGACCAATAGGAACTGAGCTTCCTCCTTTTCAGTCTGGGAACCAGGAAGCGCACAAAGGCAAATCAGCTTCTATGGGGCGGAGCACATAGTGACATCATCAGCACAGGCAGTGGTAGAGAGAAAGTGAAGAACGGTTAGCTTTATTGGGAAGATTTAAATAAAAATAAGCAGCTTGAGCTTAGCAGCATCAGTGTCCTTAGGTGTCCTCAGGTGTCCAGGCTTCAGGTCTGTCCCCTGCGGGCTGTCCCCCAGGTGGCTGAGAGATAAAACGCTGCCTTGTTTCCTCTGTGCTGTGCTCAGGTGGAGTGTCTCACCTGCCTACGCTCTGACGACCTCACTACACTGTCTGTAACCTAAACTTCCTGCTGTGTGCGTGTCACTGTAAGCTGTGTGAGGACTGACAACACCTGCAGACACACAAAGGACTGACAGGCACAGATGAGCCTCTGCAGTATGCTGTAGATGTTCCACCTGGTTTACCTGCACAGGTCTGTAGACGTTCACCAGCTGCAGCAGAGGCTTCTGCACCTGAGACAGGAGCTTGGAGAAGAAGAGGAGCACCTGCTGGGACATCCCTGGAGGATACTGAGAGAGGACAGAAGAGTTACAGTGTTAGCTCACAGTTCACCGCGTTTCTGCTCTGAAGCTAAAACTGGATTCAGCACAGAGACCCTCACCTGGAGACAGGTGTTCCTACAGACTGTAAACAAACAATGGCTGCTTCGGACTAAAGCTGCAGTCTTGCTGTAAAACCTGATCTCTGAGCTCTAAATCAGGACTTCACCAGCTGATGTCACAATGTCTGCTTCCATTGTTCATATACAGTCTGTGGGTTACACAGGAAAGATCCACCAATCAGAGCTGTGAGCTCCTAACGCTACAAGCCATAAAACCTGACCACGCAGCTCAGTCTCAGTGCCAGGTACTAAAACAGGAAGTAAACAGCGAGCTGGTCCTCTAAGATGGGCACGTTAGCCTTTCAGACAGGAAGTGAACTCATCAACCTGAACATTTATGACTGAAGAGCAGGATCATCATCATCATCCTAGCCTGCAGCTTTCACTGTATCAGTGAGTGTGCAGCACCATTACCTGAGCCTTCCCCAGTGTGCACAGAGTCTCCAACAGCTTGTGCTGCAGCAGGTACTCCATACAGGCTCCTGTGTCCTCCACGGCCTGATCAATACAGACAGGACATTCAATACTCTGATGGATATGCTGATCAATACAGCTCTGAGTCACACTGACGCACCTGCTGCTTCTCCTCGTACACCAGGATGTCCAACATCTGTCTGAGATGCCAGGGGATGTCCGTCTGTCTGACAGGACGACTGTCATCTACACACACACACACACACACACACACACACACACACACACACACACACAAGAGGAATTCAATTGGCTGGTTGTGTGGCTGTGGTAACAACTAGCTGCAGGTTAAAGAGCCTCACCTGTCGTATCGATATAATAATTGGTGATTGATTTCCAGTGATCGACAAACGAGTCAAACAGCTCCACCGTGGGCTCCCTCTGACAGACAGGTGAGATGTGAGGCGGAGTCAAAATGAGTTTAAGAATACTTAACAGACAGGAAGTCCAAAAAAAGCCACAGAGATGTGGTGTTTAGAAAAACTGTGTCTCAGCTGTTGTCCCCCATTATGGATGGAGATCTCACAGTCCAGGAAGGCTAACCAAGACCTTGGTGGTGTTCCAGGGTAGGACAGCAAAGCCCTGTGTTCCACTTCTTCCATGTACAAGTTGGACACACTGGGTGAAACTGGGGAACCCATGGCACACCCATGTTTCTACCTGGAGCACCTTGTATGTGAAACATGTGGAATGAAGACACAGTTCCAAGAGCAAACACATGTCAGCTGAGACTGAAGAAGTCACCCGGACAAAACGTTTCTCCCACTGAAATGCTACGTCCAGATGAAGACAAATTTTGAGGGGCATTTCTTTACCTGGATCATTAAGCATGCATCAAGCCAGGGAACCAATCAGAGTGCTTCATCAGCCCTGACCTAAACCAGCTGAGTACAGATCCATAAAGCTGATCGGTGCCTTCATGTTCTCTGTACTCACTGGTTGCTTTGCCTTCAAACGGCTTGGTTCCGATCAGAACTTGTTAGCTGATTCAGCCAATTACAAGTGAGCTCCTGTCAGCCCCTCCCACGGCGGCTGACATCACAGCTCTGAGCACAGCAGCTTCTGTTTTGGTCCCAGCAGCTGTAGAACTTCATGTCCTGACCAGGTCACCTGTCTCGATCAGTTCACTAGGTTTATTTATAAAGCTGGTTTTAATTAATTTCAAAAAGCTTTACTGGTATACTCATTAGGTGACAGTGAAGTACAGTAACAGCTGGCACACATACCTGTCTGTCCTGTCTCTACCTGTGCGAGTTCCTGAGCCCTGACACAAACCCATCTCCAGCAGGTAAACACCTGGAGTACTCTGAAGCTAACGTTAGCACCTGTTAGCTTCTGTGTTTACGTTTCGGTGACAGCAGATTGGTCAGGGTCAGCAGTGACAAACAGCTCATCCGAGTGACTAACTTTGTCCAACTTTTCACGGAGCTAACAGCAGCTAACTAACTGCTAACTCACCGTCTCCAGCGCGTGCAGCAGCATGCTCGTGAACCTGCCGAACGTCTCCATTTTCCCGCCTAAACCGAGCGACCCCAGCCGACCGTCAGCCCGATTATTCCCGTTTATTCCCGGTTTTCTGCGACATGTCGACCAGCTGTGCTAACAGCTGAGCGCTCCGTGTCAAACGGAAACCTCCACGTAAACACATCCGATCGGAACTTTCACAATAAGACAACGTCAACGTAACGTATGCTGAGATTTCAGAATAAGCGCTTCAATAATAGTTAAAAACAATCAATTCGAGAGTCGTCGGCTTTAATTAGTTTTAGTAATCAAATTAATTCTAAAAAGTTCAGCATTAAAGTCAGTGTTAGAAAGCATGATGACCTGCCTCTATCAGTCAGACAGTCTGACGTGAACTTTCAGTTAAATACGAAATTTTAAGGAATCACTGATTATTGTGTGAACCGCAGCATCGTAAATAAAATATGTTTAGTTATAAATAAAGTTTTTGAGTAGTTTGAATTCCGATTTCGTCACAGGTCACATGTGGATCAACCAGAGACACGCTTCTAATGCATTCTGTTCATTTCTGTATGAAAACATGTAGAAATATGCAGGTGAGGTGAGGGAGGGGCTTCCTAGGTAAAAGGCGCTGCAGCCCCGCCCTCTTCTGTCAGAGACTCAGGTGGAGCTCAGTGAGAACGTCCAGGTGAGTTCCTCTGTTTCAGGTAAGTTTCTGTGACATCATTTCGAGCCTGTCATCAAGGTGATGTTTGTTTTTCCGCAGAAGCTCTTCATCCTCATCTTTCCTTTCCACAGTCAGTCTTGCTTCTCAGTAACTGCTCAGGTGTGTTTCCTCTGTGTTACCTGTGATCAGTGAGGAGGCATTCGCTGTCTGTCGGGTTTTCCTCTTCCTGCTTTTAAACTTCTTGATTTCAAATGTTTAAATATAGAAAACCTTCACTTACTGTTTCTGTGAATGCCACAGAGGTGACACACACACACACACACACACACACACACACACACCATGCTAAAACATGCATGTCAAAACCAACTGTGTGTGTTGATGCAACCTGAACAGGTTGAAACTTGATAGATGTTTTCATACAGCCTCAGGGTTGGATGACCTGTGAGCTGTCAGGTGTGTTAGCTCATGTTTGCAGGTGTGTCAGAATTGGCACAGGTGTGAAAAAGGAAGTGCACACAATGAACCAGCTACTGCAAGAGGAACACAACGCTGTTAATACGACACACACACACCTGTGCTATGGGAGCTGCAGTGAAATTCATCATCCAACAGCTCTGAGCTTTACGTGTGTTTTCGATTTTGATTGGGCTACAGCACGCACCTGTTTGTTGTCCTGTGACTGATTTTAATGTTTTCATGACTTAGGGTTAGCCAGAGTAAGTAAATCTGATATTGTGGGTGGGGATTACATACACGCCACTGGTTAATGCTTCTGCCACGCCCCTTTCAGTGAAACATTTTCAGGTTGGACTGTTTTCTTTTCTGTGGCTCCGCCCCTTGTAGGTGACATCATGGTATCCCATTCAGAGTTTGAGCGTGCAGGGAAGGAGGCGGGGCTTCAGGTGTGGCGGGTGGAGAACATGGAGCTGGTTCCTGTTCCTGAGAGCCTGTATGGCCGGTTCTACATCGGCGATGCGTACCTGATCCTGAAGAGCACGAGCAACCGCAGCGGTGCCCTGCAGTACGACCTGCACTACTGGCAGGGTACTGCAGTATTTCACGTACTGATACTACTGCCACTAATACTGCTGGAGAACATGTCGTAGTGACAGTCGAAATAAATGGAAACGGGAAGTGGTGTAGCACTGTGACTCGTGATACTGCAGTACTTGGTGGTGGTTGCAGCTGACCAGCTGTTCTGCTCTCTGATTGGCCGACTGTCTCACAGGTTCAGCGTGTTCTCAGGATGAGAGCGGAGCAGCGGCTATTCTCACTGTTCAGATGGACGACTTCCTGCAGGGGGCGCCGGTCCAGTACCGCGAAGTACAGGGCTACGAGTCTGGTACCTTCACCGGGTACTTCAAATCTGGTCTCACATACATGGTAACTACAACACAAGTACTACTATTACTACTAGTAGTGCAACGATATTGAACCGTTCGATACAGTGCTTTCAGTTCGGTATGCATGTATCGAACAATACAAAATCTTTAATTTATTTTATCAACTTTCCTTCTGACGATGCTGTCTGTGTTGAGCGCTCAGTGGATCTGCGCTCGACAGTGCAGCCTAGGCGGAGTAGTCGAACGCAGATTCACTGAGTGCAGGGCAAGCTAGCGAGACAGAAGTTAAGCTCGTTGCAACATGGCAAATTGAACCTCCCCCACCCTCATTCAGATCTGGCGTTTGGAATTATTTTGTTTTTCATGTGACGTATGACCCTGAAGGTAAGCGCGTCATGGACTAAAGTAAAACAGTATGTTGGATGTGCCACGCAATGCTCAATTACATGGGTGGGAGCTACTGTGTTAGCGCAGTTAGCTCGTTAACGTGTTGGCCGTCCAGCCCCACGCACGGGGCGATCCGCGGTAGCTCTTTAACGGAGATTTGCCGTGTTGTGGCGTTAACGTCATTTCAGATTTACGCTGACAGCACTAGTGTGAACACAACGAATATGACTGCAACAAGCACGCATGCTACAAACTTTACCCGAGTCATTTAGACAGCCGTTAGCACAGGATTCTCCTTATGGGGACCTGATATGTTTAATATGCTGCTGAGAATATAGCCCAGAAGAAGCGTATAGTAGAGCTTTTATTTTGGAAAGAGCCATTTCTCTGTAATAAACTCTCTTTTCCAAACATGAGTGATTTCTCCATCAGATTTATTATTTTATTACTTTGTTGTTTCAGCAACATAAAATTTAAAAACTGAACGTTTGAGTTAAAATATATATTTATAATTTTAATAAATGACAAATTAAAAAGGCATGAACATTTTTTTGTATCGAACCGTGAATTTTGTGTATCGTTGCACCCCTAATTACTATGTGTACTTATGCTGATTCTGTGCTCATTAATGAGCTCATTCTAAATGACATCACTTCCTGCCTGTCTGGATACAGAAAGGGGGCGTGGCCTCAGGGTTCAAGCACGTGGTGACCAGTGATGTTGGTGATGTTAAGCGACTGCTGCATGTCAGAGGTCGGCGCGCTGTCAGGGCGACGGAGGTTCCTATCAGTTGGGACAGCTTCAACCAGTCAGATAGCTTCATTCTGGACCTGGGACAGGTGAGGCAGGGGCGGGACAGGTGAGAGAGGGTGGTACAGCTGTAAACCTGTTTTTCTCTACAGGAAATTATTCAGTGGTCTGGTTCCCACAGCAACCACTTTGAGAAGCTGAAGGCAACCATGGTGAGTACTGACATCACCTAATTACGTCATCATTTTATGATGTCACAAAGCAGAATACCTGATTAATTAAATCTTCGACAGGTGTCTAAGGGTATCCGTGACAATGAGAGGTGTGGGCGGGCTGAGCTCCAGGTCTGCGATGAAGGGGCGGAGCCAGAGAAGATGGTAGAGGTATGCAAATCGTGTGTAATGATTTCATCACAGACTCCTTAGCAGTACAGAAACGCACCACAGCTCAGTTCCTCTGGCGTCCAGCAGAAGCAGCAGTGAGGCACAATAGGCACATTTACAGCCTGATACAGAAACTGTTCTGCTGTTTAAGCTGCAGTGCATGATGGGACGTTCAGCTGACCTTTCACTGCTCTCTGTTGTGTTCAGGTTCTCGGGGAGAAGCCGGAGCTTTCCGAGTCTCAGGCTGACGACACCGAGACAGATGCTTCCAACAGGAAAGCGGCTCGTCTCTACAAGGTAACAAACTCTGGTGTTTCTCACCTGGATCGTCATCCAATCAGCTCTCCGTGGCTGCCCATGATGTCTGAAGATTTACACGTGACTCGTCTCAGGTGTCGAATGCAGGCGGAGACCTGGAGGTCACTGTGGTGGCCGAGGAGAGCCCGTTCTCCCAGAATACTTTGGTGTCCAGCGAGTGTTTCATTCTTGACAACGGAGCCAACGGACACATCTTCATCTGGAAAGGTGAGCACAACAGGTGTGAAACCAGCAAGACCCATCTGACAGGCCGGGAACTGGTCATGGAGAGGGAGCACTCGTTTTTCCACCTGTGAATAAACTGAACGTCCGGAGGTCGCCTGTCTGGATGAGCCTGAACAGAATGTAACACCTGCTGGTCCAAATTAACGGCGTGCGTGCGTGTATGCAGGTAAAGATGCAAACTCGGAGGAGCGTCACGCTGTCCTGAACACCGCAGAGTCGTTCATCTCAAAGATGAACTACCCCAGTTTCACACGGGTAGAGACAGACACACACACACACACACACACACACACACACACACACACACACACACTCTTACAGTCTCACCTGAGATGAGCTGCATCAGGAAACAGGTGATCCGATTTTCCTGTCCTACCTGTGTTCCCGCCCCCCAGGTCCAGGTCCTTCCTGAGCACGGGGAGGGGCCGCTCTTCAAACAGTTCTTTAAGGACTGGAGGGGCCCCAGTGACACGGTCGGCATGGGAACCGCCTACGTGTCCAATAAGATTGCAAAGATGGAAAAGGTAAGCCAATCAGCTTCCAGGACTAAACTGTGCCGAGCCAGACCAAAGCTGACTCCTGTGATTGGACAGGTGCCGTTTGATGCAGCTACGCTCCACCAATCAGAAGGCATGGCGGCGCAGTATGGCATGGTCGACTGCGGGGACGGAGAAAAACAGGTGAGAACACCTGAATGTCGGCAGCTCAGGTACACGGTCACCTGACAAGCATGATGTTACTCAGGGCAGGTTTTCAGCCCTGAGTAACATCTGCAGGTTTCAGCTCAACAACGACAAGCTGAGAGGCTCCTGACTGACGAAACCCGGGGCAGTAAAGCTCCAGCGTGTGACTGACCTCACTGTAAGGCTGGCTCACCTGCAGCTGACCGATCCACCCGCCCACCTCTGTCACCTGTGTGTGCAGGCACACGTCGCTGCTGCAGAAGAAAGGACTCTCAGAAAATCGGCGACCATCTACCGCTTCATAACGCCTTTCTGACTCTTCGCTGTGTTCTGTTTGTATTTAATCGAGCTGATACCGGGGAGAAGCAAAGACCACCTCGTAAAGCATAACATGTGATGTTGCAGAGCTCTGTGTGTGCTGAGCAATGATGCATGAGCAGGCTTTTGGTGCTTATTCTCTGGACTGACGCTGAACAAGCAGAAACCTGTAACGTGCCCTGCTCACCAGCACGGTTTGAAGTACCCGAAAGGCTGGTTCTGCTCAGCTGGACGTTTTCAGTGGGAGAAAATAATCCTCCCCCTCCCCCTCCTCCTCCTTCAGTGTCAGCTGACTGCAGGTTTCAACATTATAAACGGGACATCTGCACAATGACTGAAACTAGCACCAATGACTAACAATGGTGAGGTCAGTTTATGATCATTAAAGGGTGCATTTTTTAAGGGCCTACCAGGTGTTAATGTGCAGACTGTCATGACCACTGGTCACAGACAGTAAGGTAGAAACCTGCAGTCAGCTGAGACTGAAGGAGTCACCTGATGATGATGATGATGATGATGATGATGATGAAACGTTTCTCGCACTGAAAACGTCCAGATGAGCAGAACCAGCCTGTTTCCTTACCTGGATGACTGAGCGCCCATCAACAGGGTTTGAAGTACAGTACAAAGTAACTGTCACGCCTCCCTGACAGCCACATTATGACAGAACTAGCACTAATATTACTGAAGAACAAACGTATCAGGCTGTAAACATGCAGGATTGAGCCAAAGCGATGATCACCAGCAGCTACCATCATTGGTTGTTTCATTCATTTAAATATCCTCCACCAAATCTGTGCACTGAAAGGTGAAACAAATGCATGTGAAACTGTCCACACACAGTTGTGCCTCTTTTGGTGGTTTTCCCCTCACACTGGTCGACCTTCAGATTGTGTCACAGCAGGTTTTCTTTCAAGCTGGAGAGATATGATCCAAAGTGCACATTTCACATAGCGAGACCTCATTTGCAAATTTCAAATGTCATAAAACCTCAAAGATGACGAAGACTGCAGATGATGCGTTCACCTGTAGTGTCTCCTGTTTTGTAACTGAGAGGTCTGTTAAGGGTTCAATATTGAGGAAGGGTACAAGAGGTGATCGAAGAATAACCACACTGATCCGGCCGGGTGAAGTCAAACGATTTTAATGAATACACGCGTCTGTGAAAATATGGCACTTGTGACGTTCACACAGCTTCACAGCGAAGTGCCTTGAGGGCACTATTTGGAAAAAACTGAACCGAATGGAAATGTGGCCGTTTTTCTTCCTCCAGTCGTACTCGTACTCCAGCAGACTAACCGAGCTGAAAGCTTGAACGCCACATCATCCCTCCTGTCTGATGGAAAACCGTCTCCATTGGTGCCAGGAGAGTTAGCAGCTGTGTTCACAGGTGTGCTGATAAAACATTTGCATGTAAGTCAGACACACTAGATTATCACCCGGCTGCACTCATTACTGTCTACACCAGGGGTGTCAAACTCAAATACACAGTGGGCCAAAATTCAAAACTGGAACAAAGTCGCGGGCTAACGTTAATATTTATTGAAATATATTTGTTCCTCCAGATATAAGAATGAATCTTATGGACTCAAACACGTTTTGCTGAAAGACTGAATATGGAACAAGCAAAGCTTAATACTAAAATATATAGATAAGCTGTGTAATACCAGTAGGCCAGCTCTAATAGTAATTTGGTATGGCTTCGCGGGCCAAATGTAAATAGGCTGCGGGCCAAATTTTGCCCGCGGGCCAGAGTTTGACACCTGTGATCTACACAGAAAGGACTCAGGACCTTCCTGTCACTGAGCAGGACGAAGCCAAAACATAAGAGTTCGTCACACGCAGCAAAAACAGGCTGGTGTCAGCCTTGGTCACATGAAGCACTCTGATTGGCTCGTTAAATTTTGAATGTTCATGTGTAACAGAGGCAGGTTACACGCGCCTCTGTTTGGATTGGACATGTGTTTCTCAGGATCTCGATACAAACTCAAACATGTAAGTCAGTGACTTCACTTACACGAGGTGATATTTTAATTGTTTTCCAGCTTTTGGGTTTTTGATTTTAAAAAGCAATCTCCTTTTGAAAGCTGTGACGTCCGTGGCCGCAGAGCCGCCAGGCTTTACAAACAAGTCCGTCTCTGTCGTAGATTTGGAGGGTCGAAGGCTCGGAGAAGGTTCCCGTGGACTCGGCGTCCTACGGTCAGTTCTATGGAGGAGACAGTTATATCATCCTGTATCGCTACCAGCACAGCGACCGAAGCGGTCAGATCATCTACATGTGGTGAGGCGCTGCATGCGTGCTGGGATCCTCGGTCATGTCTCTCCACAGCAGGGTGCCATCTAGTGCTGGAAAACTTGCTTCTAATGTAGATGTTTTTATTCCCTCTATAGGCAGGGAGCGGAGTCTACCCAGGACGAGGTTGCGGCATCGGCCTTCTTGGCTGTTGAGGTGGATGATGAGCTGGAAGGAAGTGCTGTCCAGGTAAACCAGCTGGGAACGCTGAGCCCAGTCTGTTAACCCAACCCACTGAGCAGGAAAGGCTCTTACTCTTACCTGTGTGCAGGTGCGGGTCATTCAAGGAAAAGAGCCCGCCCACCTCATGAGTCTGTTTGGCGACAAACCACTGGTGGTGTACAAGGGCGGGACTTCTAGAGAGAACGGCCAATCGGAAGCTGCAGACACTCGCCTGTTCCAGATAAGAGCCAATCCAGCAGGAAACACCAGAACTGTGGAGGTGAGGCGAGAACTGGAGCCCAGTGAAGACGGGTTCTTTCCTTTTAGAGTTTTAGTCCAGAAAATCAAAGTTCCTTTGGTTCAAAGAACGTCCCAGACTTCTGGTTGATAGACTTTGAGTCCAGAGAACTCTGAGGGCTCAGCATTTGAGTCCAGAACTTTAGTTTTAGCTCAGGAATATTTTGGTCCAAAAGGTTTTGGTTCAGATCTTCACGCCTTGCGACTGTCACGTCGTCTGAGCCTGCATTGGTTAGTCCAGGTGGAGCCTGACTCCTCTGCTCTTGTCAGGTGGAGCCGTCCTCCTCCCGTCTGAACTCCAACGATGTTTTCCTCCTGGTTTTGCCCTCTGGATCCTGGATGTGGAAAGGCAGTAGAAGCAACCCAGACGAACTGAAGGGAGCCGAGCAGCTGGCTGAGATCCTGCATGTGACCCCCACCCTTCTGGACGAGGGGGAGGAGCAAGGTGGGGAGGACAGGTGAAATATTTACCAATGTGCACATACTAGAACCATAAACTGACCATCCGCGGTTACAGATGGATTCTGGGATACGCTGGGGGGGCAGCAGGACTACTGTCGGTCTGCTCGGCTGAAGAACCAGATGGAAGCTCATCCTCCCCGGCTGTTTGCCTGCTCCAACAAGACTGGAAATTTCAAGGTCTGTCAGTTCGTCACATGATTGGTTCTCCAGGAGCAAGGCCAACGTCACCATCATCGTTTACTACAAAGTTCTAGCAAAGCCAGTTTCATTTATACAAGATTAATCGGTCAACAATCAGCTCGATAGTTTCAGTTTCCACCTGAAGCTGAAACTAACTTCTAAATCCAGAGACACCTGGAGGCTAGACTTTATTATATCCTTTTTCAATTCAGTTTTAATTACAGTGCACAAAATCACAACAATAGTCTCCTAAATACACTTTAGACTGTAAAGTAAAGACAATAAAACAGAAAAGCAGAGGGCCGGCCGTCTGCTGTCACTGGCTGGGGGTGAGGGGAGGAGTGCGGGACAAAGACGCGCTGTGGAAGAGGCTGAATGTTGGTGACCAGGCTCGGTGCTAAACAAATCTTCACAGGTGAATCTGTGTTTCAGGTAGATGAAGTTCCAGGTGAGCTGACGCAGGATGATCTCGCTCCTGATGATGTCATGATCTTGGATACCTGGGACCAGGTGGGCGTCTCCTTCTGTTCATACAGTTAAAGATGTCTGCATCTCTTCGGTGTCCTCACGTCCTGCGTCCTGCTGCAGGTGTTCGTTTGGATTGGAAACGAAGCTCAGGAGGAGGAGAAGACTCGGGCAGTGACATCAGGTGAGACCGACAGGAGGCTAAAGTGGGCGTTACCTGGCTGTGTGTCCGATGTCCTCTGCTCTGAACTCGTCTAATATCTCGAAGGATCGGTTCAGTTGTAATTTAAAGTCTAAACTCGTAACTTTTGAGGCGTTTGAAATTAAAAAAAAAAAAAATTTCCCTGCAGCTGAGCGCTACATCGAGAGTGACCCAGCCAATCGTGACCCTCGAACCCCCATTGTGACGGTGAAGCAGGGATTCGAACCGCCAACCTTCACCGGCTGGTTTCTGGGCTGGGAGTACGAATACTGGTCCATTAGCCCACTCCAGCGCTATCTCCAGGCCCTGTGACCTCACTTCCTGTTTACCATTGACCTTTGAGCTGTCTGCATGAATAAAGGCTTTTTATCGACATGCACGTCTCTGTGTGTGATGAGCAGGTAGACGGTGTATTAGTTTATTGGAGCGTCTCTATAAGTACCAACGTGGATAAATAACAATAAGAGGAAACATAAACACGGAGACAGAAGCCACAGTGAGCACAGCAGAGACAGTCTGAGAGAGTCTGAGTGTGCACGTGTTCACAAACTATTCATCACAATTTAAAGTTTGGACCGCTTTACAATAAAATCTGGTGTTTACATTAAAATCAGAATTCTCTGAAACAACAAACTAGCATCTCTAACTCTCCCACACCTCGCCCATGTGACCAAAATATTCAAAGCTACGGAAGCCCTGAGGGGCCAACACAATCACTTGGAGTTGTGGTGCTGCTTCTAGTCTTTGTGCTAAGCTAGGCTAACCGGGATGAGGAAGTTTCCGTGAGGCAGCTCGGACACAAAGGTCGGACTGTTCCTTTAAAATACAATCGAAAGTCAAAGCGTCTAAAACAATTAATATGTTCCTCCAGCCTGGAGCCACGTACAGGTGGGGTTGCTTCATGTCTTGTCATAAAATGTCCATTTTGGTTTCGGGACCGTTTTTCTGATTTGTAACAGGAAGTACCAAAACGTAAACGGGATATGATGTCATACTCTAACTAGTTCAAAGAGAAAACGTGCAAAACAGGAAATGAGTTGGATTAAGGTCAGAGGTTCATCTGTAAAAGTCTATGGGTTAGCCCCGCCTCTATGGGCCTCGTAAGGCTAAGCACCTCCCTCTCCTTGCAGTACAGCCAGTTAGAGCTCAGCAGTTGCCAGAGTTGCGGAACTCTCCGTTCTCGGTGATCTGCAGCGATGACGTGTTGCTCGGAGACAGGCCGTTCCTCTGTGATGTCACGGCATAACGCTCCTTCAGCTGAGTTAGAGCCGCCATCAGACGAGTGTTCGCTGCGTCAAGACTCGCAATCCTCTTCTCCTGAGAGTCAGACAGGTGAGACGGGCAGGTGAGACAGTAAGCTCAAAACAAACCTGCAGGTCCACTTATGTCCACCTGGGATCTTTAGTCAGCTGTCACAGGGAGGCGGGATTTTACATTTGTTCCTGTTTGTGCTGCTAATACGCTTTAAATATGAAGAACATTAAATGTTTTTCACTAACATATTTCACCTAATTATGATGTCGTACGCATAAAATGGTTTTACAGACATGCATCAAAACTCAGCTATGCTAGCTACTGTTAGCTTCATTCCGGGATGGAGAACAGCTCGAGACGTCTTTTAAGACGCCATAATGACGCTGGAGTAGCTTATGAGCACTTCCACCTGTTTCCACCATCACTGGGCAAAATATGGTCACTTCTACAGTCGTAAACTCTGAGGCTTCAAATACAGATTTCAGGTGATGGAGACGTACCTGTGCCTCTATAATCTTCTGCTTCGAGTCAACCACAGCCTGCATGTCAGAGTGATCCTTCTTTAACTCTTCCTCCACCGCCATCAACCTGCAGGTGATCAGACAGACAGGTGATCAGACAGACAGAGAGACAGGTGATCAGACAGACAGACAAACAGAGAGACAGACAAAAGGACGAACAGACAGACAGGCGATCAGACAGACAGACAAACAGAGAGACAGACAGGGAGACAGGTGATCAGACAGACAGATAAAAAGAGAGACAGACTGACAGGTGATCAGACAGACATTTGCTCAGACAGAAAGACAGAGAGACAGACGGGCAGACAGACGGACAGAGAGACAGACGGACAGACAGACAAACAGACAGACAGACGGGCAGACAGACGGACAGAGAGACAGACGGACAGACAGACAAACAGACAGACAGACAGAGAGAAAGATGGACAGATGAATAGACAGAGAGACAAATAGACAGACAGGCAGGCAGAGAGACAGAAAGAGAGGCAGACAGACAGAGAGACAGACGGGCAGACAGAGAGACAAACAGACTTGAAAGACAGAGAGACAGAGAGACAAACAGACAGAGAGAAAGACGGACAGACAGAGAGACAAACAGACAGGGAGAAAGACGGACAGACAGAGAGACAAACAGACAGGAATAGAGACAAACAGACAGGAATAGAGACAAACAGACAGAGAGACAGACGGGCAGACAGACGGACAGAGAGACAGGCACCTGACAGGTGTCAGGTGAAGTTGATTATTTCTGACATCTGAATCGGTCGAGCTCAGTGGAGCTGGTGCTGCAGTTCACAGTTCAACCTCTAGGTGGCTGCTGAGAAGTCTTTTTCCTTGTTGTCTGTTTGCTAAGGTGAACAAGCACAACCCTCAAGTACTGTTTCTATGGTAATGCACACAGGTGTTCCCACCTGCTGATGATGCTGTTCATCTGCAGGTCTTTGTCGTCCTGCAGTCTCCTTAGCCGACTCTCTGTGTCCTCCAAACGAGCCTAAAACACACGCACACTGCTATTGGTCTTGCTGTGTCATGTGACTGAGCTTCTCTGCAGGTGGGTCACAGACCTGGTACTCCTGCAGCATGCGCTGATTCTGCTGATCCTGGACCATCAGACGTGCTTCACACTCCTCCTGACGCAGTGCAGCAATGCGCAACTTCTCCTGCAGCAACGCAATCTCCTGCTGGTACTGCACACACACACACACACATACCGTCAGAACCAGCAGGACCAGTAGAACCAGTGTTGACCCAGAACTTTGAGAACCTTACCTTCTCCACGAGGCTGTCATCATGGCGATCATCCTCAGCCTCACCATAGGAGGAGGTGGAGTTCATGTTGAGCAGCCAGGCTGCCGTACGGTCTAACGCGCAGGGAGACGGAGCCTGGACACACAAACACACCTGAACAGGTACCGCCCACGACCTTAGACAGTCCAGGTACGTCCTCTGGGTGGGTCACTTCAGAAAAAGCTTTAAACAAGTATGGAGGACCGCCTCCTTGCATCTGATCATTAAATCAGGAAAGCCTGAACAAAATGACTCCATGGTACCGTGGTAACAGCCTAGTTACCTTGGCAGCTGGCCGCTGCTTCTCAGGGCTATCTCCTTTGGACGATGACGACATCTGTCTGAGCCGCGACTGGCTGCTGGTTGGCCAATCAGGGCTCGATGACATCATGCTGCCAGAGGTGGGACGTGGGGGGTAGGCGGATCCTGCACCACTGCCGCCGCTGAGCATGCTGGGAGGCGTCCGGCCTCGAGGAGGTCCGGGTGGAGCTGAGGACGGAGGAGGAGGCTGATCAATTCGTCTCTGGGGGCCCGAGGAGTTCTGCCGAGGTGGGACGGAGCTACCTGAAAGGTGGGAGCAATCAAAGGTAAATCAGACCTGATCCTCAAACTTCAGGCCTCGTCCAAAAATATAAAGCAATTTGCTGGTTGTGAGTGTGATTGTAGCTAATGGCAAAAACCCACCCACCACTTTAATCACACTCTAGATCTTGGTTTTGGTTTTACCCAGCAGTCTTAGCTAATTATAGGCCAATCTCCAACCTTCCTTTCATATCAAACATCCTTGAAAGAGTAGTTGTCAAACAGCTAACAGATCATCTGCAGAGGTTTATTTGAAGAGTTTCAGTCAGGTTTCAGAGCTCATCACAGCACAGAAACAGCTTTAGTGAAGGTTACAAATGATCTTCTTATGGCCTCTGACAGTGGACTCATCTCTGTGCTTGTCCTGCTAGACCTCAGTGCAGCGTTCGATACTGTCGACCATAATATCCTATTACAGCGATTAGAACATTCCACAGAAGAATTTTGAATTTTTCTAACAGGAAGCCAAAACAGGAGAAATCTGCTCTCTCTTTCTAGTCCCTGTCAGGACTTTTGCTGCAGCATTTTGGATTAACACACCAAATCACAACAACATTCGCCTCAAGGCGCTTTATATTGTGAGGTAGACCCTACAATAACACATACAGAGAAAAACCCAACAATCATATGACCCCCTATGAGCAGCACTTTGGCGACAGTGGGAAGGAAAAACTCCCTTTTAACAGGAAGAAACCTCCGGCAGCACCAGGCTCAGGGAGGGGCGGGGCCATCTGCTGTGATTGGTTGGGGTGAGAGAAGGAAGACAGGATAAAGACATGCTGTGGAAGAGAGACAGAGGTTAATAACAGATATGATTCAATGCAGAGAGGTCTGTTAACACATAGTGAGTGAGAAAGGTGACTGGAAAGGAAAAACTCAATGCATCATGGGAATCCCCGGCAGCCTACGTCTATTGCAGCATAACTAAGGGAGGATTCAGGGTCACCTGGTCCAGCCCTAACTATATGTTTTAGCAAAAAGGAAAGTTTGAAGCCTAATCTTGAAAGTAGAGATAGTGTCTGTCTATCTCTACAATAACCTCAGTTTGATCTGAATGAAGAAGCAGAAAGTTAGCGGCCATCCAGGTCTTTATGTCTTCAAGACATTCCTGCAGTTTAACTCATTGGTGTGTGTTATCTGGCTTCATGGACAGATAGAGCTGGGTGTCATCTGCATAGCAGTGTAAATGTATGCTATGTCTTCTGATGATGCTGCCTAAGGGAAGCATGTATACAGGGAGTGCAGAATTATTAGGCAAGTTGTATTTTTGAGGAATAATTTTATTATTGAACAACAACCATGTTCTCAATGAACCCAAAAAACTCATTAATATCAAAGCTGAATGTTTTTGGAAGTAGTTTTTAGTTTGTTTTTAGTTTTAGCTATTTTAGGGGGATATCTGTGTGTGCAGGTGACTACTACTGTGCATAATTATTAGGCAACTTAACAAAAAACAAATATATACCCATTTCAATTATTGATTTTTACCAGTGACACCAATATAACATCTCCACATTCACAAATATACATTTCTGACATTCAAAAACAAAACAAAAACAAATCAGCGACCAATATAGCCACCTTTCTTTGCAAGGACACTCAAAAGCCTGCCATCCATGGATTCTGTCAGTGTTTTGATCTGTTCACCATCAACATTGCGTGCAGCAGCAACCACAGCCTCCCAGACACTGTTCAGAGAGGTGTACTGTTTTCCCTCCTTGTAAATCTCACATTTGATGATGGACCACAGGTTCTCAATGGGGTTCAGATCAGGTGAACAAGGAGGCCATGTCATTAGTTTTTCTTCTTTTATACCCTTTCTTGCCAGCCACGCTGTGGAGTACTTGGACGCGTGTGATGGAGCATTGTCCTGCATGGAAATCATGTTTTTCTTGAAGGATGCAGACTTCTTCCTGTACCACTGCTTGAAGAAGGTGTCTTCCAGAAACTGGCAGTAGGACTGGGAGTTGAGCTTGACTCCATCCTCAACCCGAAAAGGCCCCACAAGCTCATCTTTGATGATACCAGCCCAAACCAGTACTCCACCTCCACCTTGCTGGCGTCTGAGTGGGACTGGAGCTCTCTGCCCTTTACCAATCCAGCCACGGGCCCATCCATCTGGCCCATCAAGACCCACTCTCATTTCATCAGTCCATAAAACCTTAGAAAAACCAGTCTTGAGATATTTCTTGGCCCAGTCTTGACGTTTCAGCTTGTGTGTCTTGTTCAGTGGTGGTCGTTTTTCAGCCTTTCTTACCTTGGCCATGTCTCTGAGTATTGCACACCTTGTGCTTTTGGGCACTCCAGTGATGTTGCAGCTCTGAAATATGGCCAAACTGGTGGCAAGTGGCATCTTGGCAGCTGCACGCTTGACTTTTCTCAGTTCATGGGCAGTTATTTTGCGACTTGGTTTTTCCACACGCTTCTTGCGACCCTGTTGACTATTTTGAATGAAACGCTTGATTGTTCGATGATCACGCTTCAGAAGCTTTGCAATTTTGAGACTGCTGCATCCCTCTGCAAGATATCTCACTATTTTTGACTTTTCTGAGCCTGTCAAGTCCTTCTTTTGACCCATTTTGCCAAAGGAAAGGACGTTGCCTAATAATTATGCACACCTGATATAGGGTGTTGATGTCATTAGACCACACCCCTTCTCATTACAGAGATGCACATCACCTAATATGCTTAATTGGTAGTAGGCTTTCGAGCCTATACAGCTTGGAGTAAGACAACATGCATGAAGAGGATGATGTGGACAAAATACTCATTTGCCTAATAACTCTGCACTCCCTGTAATGTAAACAGAATTGGTCCTAGCACTGACACACACAAACACTTCCTGTTGCTTCTGACCCCCGACCCTGGACTCTACCTGTGAGTGTCTCGCTGAGGGACAGCGCTCGCCGCGAGTACTCCTCGCCACTGCTGCTGCTCGACATAGCAGACATCCTCTCCCCCCTCTCCCCCCCTGTCAGTCCCACTGACATCTGGGTAAGAAACGCCGGTTTGGTCACCATGGTGTTCCTGTCGTCTGCATTTCCCTGCGACCCCACCGAGCCGTCTGAGGGTGTGGCGTCGGCCTGCTGCTGCTGCTGTGGCTGCCGCGGTGATGTGGTGGTCATGTGATAGACGGGATTCTGGAAGGAGAGGGGGAGGAGCCCCGTCCTGCGCTGCCACTGACCATCGTCGAGGCCGTCGCCAGGGGAGGTGTCATGCAGGTCCACCAGAGACAAGCTGCGGCTCTCGTTGTTCAGCTCGGACCCCTCTCTCCGACCTCCATTGGTCATTTCAAACGCTGCCTCATTCTCATTGGACTCTGAGTAGGATGAGCTTGGTGCTGGAGAACCCTGCATGCCTGGAGAAAGTGACATCACAGGAAGAGTCAGGGGTGACAGAGTGGTGGAGAAATGGGAAAGTGGATAAAGAAGAGAGGTGAAAGGTCACCTGATGCAGGCTGTAGGCTCGACCCTTTAGTGACGAAAAACAAGTCTTTGTTCTCAGGAGTCGGCGAGGGGAGTCTGGTGAAATCCACCAATCTACACACACACACACACACACACACACACACACACACACACACACACACACACACACACACACACACACAGATAACACGTCAGATATTTAAGCCATGCATCAGCCAGACTCTTCCTGCGCTGGCATGCACAGACAACTGTGAGCATGTGCAGAAGCTCCATGTGAGAGCCCTCTCTGTTCACCACTGGGGATGCTAATGCTAACAGGAAACACAGGATGCTAACCCTCCATCAAGTCCCATGCTGCCCTGCAGGCCAACAGAGGGATTACAGGTCGCCAGAGGTGGAGAAAGGGGCGGAGACAGGGGGGCTGGGGAGAGAGGGGGCGGAGACACTACACGTTGAGGCTCTGGGGAAGAAACAGATACGCCCCCTGCACTGGCCACACCCCCTGGATTGGCAAGCGCTGCCGATACGTCTCTGAGGATTCGAGGAAGAGGGCCGAGCTTCGACAGGCACGACTGGAGAAAACAGAGAGAGAGAGCAGTCAGGGAGTTACCTGGGCAGGCAGGTGAGTCATCTGCCAAGACAGGTGCATTACCTGGTCGAGCTCAGTCAGCAGGGTGTGCAGGCTGGACAGCTCACGGCCGAGGTCGATGTACCCGTCAAAGCCGGCGGTGTGGTTCAGCCCGTCGGGGTTCGAGATCTCCTGCAGGAAGCGCTGCATGCTGCTCCACTGCCGCTCCACAAAGTCATTCATGAACAGCATGTACTCCTCCTTAGTGCCGAACCTGCGCGACAGGTAAGACCGCCAGCGTCAGCAGGTCAGCATGCACGCACGCATACAGTTGGCAGGTAGCCGTGCACAGTGCAGGTACAAAGACTTCAAAGTAAAAGCTCTGCACTACTTCAGAACAGGCTTGGTACGTCACAATAAAAGCCCTGGGCTTCTTCCAGAATACTGGTCCTGAACTCCTTTCAGAACTAAAAGCCTTCCACTCCTTCACCATAAATACTCATCACTCCTTCAGAATAAAAGTCCTTTAAAAAAAGCCCTAAACTGCTTTCAAAATAAATTCTTTTTAAAATTCTTTGCTCCTTTAGAATAAAAGCCTTGGAGTCCTTTCAAAATAAAAACCTGTATTCCATCAAAATAAAAGGCCTACACCCCGTTAGAAAAAAGGCTGTCCTTTCCAAATAAAAGCCCTGTATTGTTTCACAATAAAAGCCGTGGCGTACTTGCTGAAGTTGGCAAGGTTCTGAATCACTTTGGCGATCAGCGTCAGGGTTCTCGCTGTGCGTTCATCAGGGTATTCCTGCATCAGGTCGAATAGTGATGGCGACATCACGGCCGGACACAGGAAGCGCAAGAACAGCGAGGCGCTGATGAGGCGCTCGCTGATGTCTGGCCGTCCTCGGTTGCCGCATTCCTGCCGCCATGACCCAAACACCTCCTTCAGCTCCCGGGGGAAGACCCTGAGTGACAATCGGCAAGAGTCAGCGTGTGCCGGCCTGGAGCGTCAGTGGTGTGCGTGATCTTGTGTGCGTACCTGTATGAGTCAAGAATTTTGCAAAATGCCAGCTCGCAGCACATCCTCAGGTTGGCCTGATGCTCCGCGAGGTCAGAGGTCGCACAGCGAGACGGGTCCACCTCACAGTTCTCATCAGACTCGTACAGAGCTTTGATGAACTCACCTGGACGGACACACACACACACACACACACACACACACACACACACACACACACACACACACACACACACACAGCTGATCAATAAATATCACAATAAGCACACAGGGGGGCTTGTGTGTGTTTGTGTGTGTGTGTGTGTGTGTGTGTGTGTGTGTGTGTACCAAGTGCATCCTGTAGGTATTTCTGTCCAATCAGCTTCAGGTATTCCTCAATGCTTTTGGTCGCCAATGTGTTCTCTCTAAAGATCAGCTGGTCGTTGTCACGGCAACGGTCCACCTCTGACATCATCAGGTCGGTCAGGAAGTCCTGCAGTGAGGGGTGAAAGGTCACTGGGCTGAAAGAAGAACAGGTGGTGGTGGCAGGCCAGGTGTAGAGTTCAGGTGTGGTGGGCGGGGTTACCTTGGCCTTGCCCGTGCTGTGCAGGATGTGCACGAGTGCAGCAGCGAGCTCCTCCTTCGCTCTCAGGCTGATTGAGGCCTCCAAGGTGGAGCAGAGCAGCAGGTAGTTGGAACTGATGTACTCCGCAAACTCTTTGTACTGCTCCATCGGCAGGATGACGATACTCTGGTAACGTGCTTTGACCCTCACTGTTGGCACAGACGACTTACCTGAAATCGGGTGGGACAGGTTAAGAGGGTGACACAAATGAGACACCTCAGCGCACGAGCCCGAGTGGATCTACATACCTCGGATTGTACTGGGCGTGCTCAGTGTGTACCACTTCTCCACCAGCTGTCTGCCAGTCACCGTGGCGACCGGGATGTTGACTAACCCGACGTAGCTGCTTTTGTCCTTCTTCCTCTTCCGGTCGGTGTCCTTGTACAGGTGCAGCGTGATGGAGGCGACAGGTGGGAGGCTGCTGAAATCGAAGCGCTCGCCCCAGAAGATGTTGTCAGTTTTCAGCTTACAGGACGTCCGAGCGTAGAGGCTATCGTCCAGACACAGCTCGCAGAAGTACCTGCAGTACATGTACTGTGATTAGTGGTCGGGTCGTGTGAAATGTCGTCCTCATGGATCGAAGGTGCAAACTGTAAAACTACACATAAACTAAGAATAAGTACAGCAGTACTGTGTTTGAATACAAATAAACAGATTCAGTAGTACACAGAATAAATAAATAAATACCTACAGTACTACAACTACTATCTGCAGCACACTTCAGCAATCTACAATATAAGTACTGCAATAGCTGTTTGCAGTAAAAGTACTACCATTATTATCTGCAGCACAAGTCCTGCAGTTATTATATGCAGTACAAGTACTATGATTACTGCAAGTGGTTTGAATCACAGTAATCTAATAGAAACATATTCATTTCGACTGCAGCAGTTTCCTGCTGCGTCAAGCAAAGTGCACGCCAGCGAGGGCGCGCGCACGCCGTGCTCATAGTACAACTGCTTTGAGTAAGTCATTTGTTTCATGTCTCTGTGGACCTCGGCAGGAGAGCTGTGCTGTGGAAACGTCACTAACTAAACAAAGTCAGAGATACGTGTTTGGAAATGACAGGAAGCTGGCGCATCTCGTACACGTACAGCAGCTGTAAAAATTGACTGCAGCACCCAGCGCGACACAGATGTTGGGTCCTTCGCTCTAGCTAGCGCCAGCACAGTGCGAGCCACGTCCACCTTTAGAAGGCGTAACATACATTTACACTGCTATGCAGATGACACCCAACTTTATGTGTCCACACACACTATCCGGTCGTTCAGTCTGACGTCACTAGCCGTCTGGGTCTAAACTCCGCTGCAGGTCCATATATCAAACGATCACTGTGGCATTACTGAGAGTTGAAAAACTGTCTAAAGTCTTTCATCTTTAATAAAATGATCAGCGTTCTGCTCTACCAGGTGTAACAATTGAGTTTAACATCCAGGCATCCATGAAAACGGAATTTATGACATTTAACGGAGTTAGAAGTTAGCAGGGAGTTAGCTCGCTAGCTTCTATCTAAATACAATATAGCATGTCCTGACTGTGGGGTTTTGGAAACAAATGCAAACGTACAGCTCTGTTATCACTTCCAACATAAATGAAGACAGAAAACTAAACAGCAGTGACGTTTGTAGGGTTACTGAAGTTGGGCTAGCTGGTATATAATGATGTGCTACGTGACCGCTAGCGACACAGCTATGTTAGCATAATATAAACAAGCTAACTTTTTTTCCACTCGATAAAAGTTAACGTGAGTGTTCTCGGTGGTCAGGAACAAATGTAATCGCATGGCAGGATGCTGTAAAAGGACCAAACTTCAGCCAGGAGAACAACTGAGATAATCCATCCACAATACGAGGTTAGTCATTCATATACTGCTGCATGGGCTGGGCTGTAGTTACATCGTAAGGCTTTAAAAACTGAGCTTAAATAAATGATTAGCGGTAATAAAAGCCGAGGGAGGTCAACAGGGATCACTGACTGTTTTAGGAGCTTTTTGAGATCAAATAGAAGAAAATACAAAACATTAAACATGTTCACAACACAAAAGCCATATTAAACGCAGACTACTTTAGACCCGGAAGTAGGATTCGTCACGTCATCACTTAACGACCGGATTAGTTAAACTGCAGGAATGTCTGCGATACTCTAATTACTGCCGGTAGCACAAATGCTCTGATTACTACATGTAGTAGAAGTAATCTAGTTACTACCTGCACTAAACATAGTAGGATTACTGTTTGTGTTCTACCGTTTCCCTGCAGCTCACAGATGTAACTGTGATACTTGGAGCAGGTGGGCTGGTGCAGCGCCGCCTACCGTTTCTTGGCGGGCAGGTCTTTGGCCTCCACCACCCACACCGTCAGCACGTTCTCCAGCCGCCGGCTGTTGTCCTTGTTGGGGTGAACAGCACGTCGCAGGTTCTCCATCCATTTGTCTCTTTCTGCTGCTGAGCGACACGAGAAACACTTTGTTCCCGTCGAGGTTGTTACCTAGGAGACAGGCAACCACGGAGACACAAGAGGGCACCGATGTCAGCTGAGTGAAACCCTTGTGTCTTCCAACCAAACGCTGTCCCTCTGAGAGAGAAGCTTTGGATCGTTTTTGTGACCTGATTAACAAAACATGACAGAAAAATGTTTCCAACCATGAGAAAGTCCTGATGACGAGGGTTACAGTCAGAGCCATCTCGGATGATGACTCTGACCTCAACGTGTCCGATCAGGTAACATCTGTAGTTCCTGAAACTCTGTTTGCTGTTTGTGTGGATGAAATGCAGACGAGTCTCAGGGCCGCACGCAGCTCAACAAAGTCAGGCGTTCATCAGAGATAACACCGCCGAGGTTATCGGTTCTCTGTTAAGCCAGATTAGAGCTAGTGGTTTTATACAAAATGAGCACATTCCAATCAGAGACATTACCATTTGGTGATAAAGTCGCTAAACAATGTAAACATTTCTCTGTAAAATAATCTGAGAGGTGAAAGCAGCAGAAACTTTGCTTTGAAGATTTTCACTTTGAACTAAAGTGAATGATTTTGTTACTCAGCACGCTCAGTAAGGCGATGGCTGCACATCGGAGCTGTGAGACTTTAAACTTGATTTACAGCTCGATGAAGGAGACGTGGAAATCTGATGAAAATCATTGGTTGAACAGATGTTCTGTAATAATGTCACTTCCTCTGGTAGATTTGAAGGCGTTAAACGAGGCTGCGGTTATTCTGATAAACATTCTTTCAAAATAAAAGACATTTTGAAAGTTGAGATGAAAACCTGTAAAAAATAAATGAAAACAAGTTGGAAACTGATCCGTGTGAAACACAACAATGGATCTGATGGTGATCAGAAACCTCGATCACGAAGCTTCGTCATATTTGTGTTTTACAGTTGGGATTCTGCCCTGCCCTCTGCTGGAATTGTGAGGTAACGCAGGTCAATTCAATTCAGTTCAATGCAATTTTTTTTTACACAGCGCCAAATCACAACAACATTCGCCTCAAGGCGCTTTATATTGTGAGGTAGACCCTACAATAATACATACAGAGAAAAACCCAACAATCATATGATCCCCTATGAGCAGCACTTTGGCGACAGTGGGAAGGAAAAACTCCCTTTTAACAGGAAGAAACCTCCAGCAGAACCAGGCTCAGGGAGGGGCGGGGCCATCTGCTGTGATTGGTTGGGGTGAGAGAAGGAAGACAGGATAAAGACATGCTGTGGAAGAGAGACAGAGGTTAATAACAGATATGATTCGGTGCAGAGAGGTCTGTTAACACATAGTGAGTGAGAAAGGTGACTGGAAAGGAAAAACTCAATGCATCATGGGAATCCCCGGCAGCCTACGTCTATTGCAGCATAACTAAGGGAGGATTCAGGGTCACCTGGTCCAGCCCTAACTATATGCTTTAGCAAAAAGGAAAGTTTGAAGCCTAATCTTGAAAGTAGAGATAGTGTCTGTCTCCTGAATCCAAACTGGAAGCTGGTTCCACAGAAGAGGGGCCTGAAAACTGAAGGCTCTGCCTCCCATTCTACTTTTAAATACTCTAGGAACAACAAGTAGGCCTGCAGAGCGAGAGCAAAGTGCTCTAATAGGGTGATATGGTACTACAAGGTCATTAAGATAAGATGGGGCCTGATTATTTAAGACCTTGTATGTGAGGAGCAGGATTTTGAATTCTGGATTTAACAGGAAGCCAAAACAGGAGAAATCTGCTCTCTCTTTCTAGTCCCTGTCAGGACTCTTGCTGCAGCATTTTGGATCAGCTGAAGGCTTTTCAGGGAGTTTCTAGGACTTCCTGATAATAATGAATTACAGTCGTCCAGCCTGGAAGTAATAAATGCATGAACTAGTTTTTCAGCGTCACTCTGAGACAGGATATTTCTAACTTTAGAGATGTTGCACAAATGGAAGAAAGCAGTCTTACATATTTGTTTAATATGTGCATTGAAGGACATGTCCTGGTCAAAAATGACTCCAAGGTTCCTCACAGAGTTACTGGAAGCCAAGGTAATGCCATCCAGAGTAAGAATCTGCTTAGATACCATATTTCTAAGATTTTCAGGGCCGAGTACAATACCCTCAGTTTGATCTGAATGAAGAAGCAGAAAGTTAGCGGCCACCCAGGTCTTTATGTCTTTAAGACATTCCTGCAGTTTAACTCATTGGTGTGTGTTATCTGGCTTCATGGACAGATAGAGCTGGGTGTCATCTGCATAGCAGTGTAAATGTATGCTATGTCTTCTAATGATGCTGCCTAAGGGAAGCATGTATAATGTAAACAGAATTGGTCCTAGCACTGAACCCTGTGGAACTCCATAATTAACCTCAGTGTGTGAAGAGGACTCTCCATTTACATGCACAAACTGGAGTCTATTAGATAGATATGATACAAACCACTGCAGCGCAGTACCTGTAATACCTACAGCATGTTCTAATCGCTCTAATAGGATATTATGGTCGACAGTATCGAACGCTGCACTGAGGTCTAGCAGGACAAGCACAGAGATGAGTCCACTGTCAGAGGCCATAAGAAGATCATTTGTAACCTTCACTAAAGCTGTTTCTGTGCTGTGATGAGCTCTGAAACCTGACTGAAACTCTTCAAATAAGCCTCTGCAGATGATCTGTTAGCTGTTTGACAACTACTCTTTCAAGGATGTTTGATATAAAGGAAGGTTGGAGATTGGCCAATAATTAGCTAAGACTGCTGGGTCTAGAGATGCTTTTTGAGTAAAGGTTTAACTACAGCCAGCTTGAAGGCCTGTGGTACATAGCTGATCATTAGAGATAGGTTGATCACATTTAAGATCGAAGAATTAATTACTGGCAGGACTTCTTTGAGCAGTTTTGTAGGAATGGGGTCTAAAAGACAGGTTGATGGTTTGGAGGAAGTAATTATTGAAGTTAACTCAGAAAGATCAATTGGAGAAAAAGAGTCTAACTTAACATCAATGGTACTAAGAGTAACTGTAGATAATATTACATCTGTGGGATGATTACTGGTAATTTTTTCTCTAATGATAAAAATTGTATTTGTGAAGAAGTTCATGAAGTCATTACTAGTTAACGTTAAAGGGATGGTTGGCTCAACAGAGCTCTGACCTTTTGTCAGCCTGGCTACAGAGCTGAAGAGAAACCTGGGGTTGTTCTTATTTTCTTCAATCAGTGATGAATAGTAAGATGTTCTGGCTTTGCGGAGGGCTTTCTTATAAAGTAGCAAACTATTTCTCCAGGCTAAATGATGATCCTCTAAATTTGTGACACGCCATTTCCTCTCCAGATTACGAGTCATCTGCTTTAGGCTACGTGTTTGAGAATTATACCACGGAGTCAGGTACTTTTGATTAGAGACCTTAGTGTTCACAGGAGCTACAGTATCCAGAGTCGTACGCAGTGAGGAGGTGAAATTATTAACAAGATAATCGACCTCTGTTGGAGCAGCGTTCAGATAGCTGCTCTGCTCTGTGTTGGTACAGGGCATTGAAGATGATAACAGTGGGTGGATTATATTCTTAAACTTAGTTACAGTGCTTTCAGAAAGACATCTACTTTGATAAAGTCTACTCTCCACCGCTGTGTAATCAATTATTGTAAATGTAAATGTTATCAGGAAATGATCAGACAGCAGAGGGTTTTCAGGAAACACTGTTAAATGTTCAGTTTCTATGCCATATGTTAAAACAAGATCTAGAGTGTGATTAAAGTGGTGGGTGGGTTCTTTTACATTTTGAGAGAAGCCAATTGAGTCTAATAACAGATTAAATGCCATGTTCAGGCTGTCATTTTTAGCATCTACATGGATGTTAAAATCACCCACAATAATTATTTTATCTGAGCTCAGAACTAAATTAGATATAAAGTCTGAGAAATCAGACAAACTCTGTGTAAGGCCCAGGTGGACGATAGATGATAACAAGTAAGACTGGTTTCTGAGTTTTACAGCTGGGGTGGACGAGGCTAAGCATCAGGCTTTAAATGAATTAAAAGTCTGTCTGGGTCTTTGGTTGATTAATAGGCTGGTGTAATAGGCAGGCACAGAGCAGTATGTAAATGATTGTGTTGGGACACCTCGGTTTTGGGAGTGCTGCAGTTTGTGTGTGTTGTTTGCGTCACCTCGAAGCAGTAGTCCTGTCCCAGCAGGGATGAGTGAACCGGCTTAATAATCACTGATTGGTCCATCCTGAGCTCGAGAGACGATACACAGCCAGTGCTTAGCAACGACTCCTGGCTACCGCAACGCAGCCGACGCATCACACACCTGAAACAAACATACACAGTGTAATTACTAACAGGACAGGAAGACGCACTCATCGAGTTTCCAGAGGCATGGATCCCAAACCTGGATTGTCAGAGAAGTCTAGGACGTCTCCTGGACGTCTCCAGGGACACAAAGAAGGTGATCTACACTGAAAAATGAACATGAGATTTGACTTGGATCTGACAACAGAGACCGAGTGATGCAGCGAGTGTGATCAGGTTCACCTGGAGCTGTAGAGCAAGGTGGAGCTGAAACAACTGTCGGGCTGAAGCTCAGGAGGTCAAGGAGAACCTAATCAGGACCTCTGATTGGTTCAGCACAAGCCAATCAGTTTGATACTTTTCAAGACATTTGAGGTGTCATAAAGTAAAGTTACATTTAATAAAAGAAGGCGGTTCTGAAGTATTACAGTGTGACGCGGCGTTAGAAACAAATGTACGAGCCAGTGATGGAGTAAAAGCTCAGGATTCATATTCAGCCAGAGTCATTTCATCTGCTTCCAAACTTTGCTGCAGCACATGTGATTACACGTACAGATGTCATGCTGGGCTTGGTGCTTCCTGTTGCATCGTGAGATGATGCTCCTCATTGGCACACCTGGACTTCATGTCTGACGCTCTGAAATGGGTCTGAGGTGCTGCCCCTCAGAAGAAAGTGGCATTTTAGGGAAGGGTTTTTCAGGTAGAGGATGCAGGCTGAGTATGAATATGGATTATTCTGAGCTGTGAATCATGCACAGCTGCTCTCGTAAAGCCCGAGAATTAAAACAAAGGGCACCTCTGGGAAAGATCCCGTTGCGGTGCCTCGATGCTCCACCAGCCTCTGAGGCCACGTTCATCACTGAGCGAGGAGACCTCTGCATGTCTCCACCACACAGGCCTCCATTCGTTACATAACTCACTCCTCCACGGAGCTGTTAACAAGCAGAAACCCAGCTTCCTGTCCTCCGGACCGAACACAACCACAGCAGCTCTGACGGAGTGCGCAGGGAGGCAGCCACCACACGCCGACCTGATTAACTCCGATGCAGAAAACAAAGCTGATCTCTGCTTCTCCACAACATTTATTTATTTATCATGTGCAAATGTGTCACAGTTCAGGGAGAGGCTGCAGAGCTTACAGAGTCAGTGTGAACGGACACGGTCAGAGTCTGATCACTGACAGACGTAAACACGACAACAGGAAGTACGAACGATGACCAGCAGCCGACTGTCCGATGGACAGCCCTCCTCTCACCTCAAACACCCCATCCAGTAGTTTTGGTGTATTTGGACACTGAGAGCCAAATGCACTCGTCCACACACCTGCAGTTCCTCTGCCATGCAGCAGAGGCAGCAGTGAGTCAGTCCCTACAAACTGCCATGTTGAAATAAACATGTTTACAGCTTGATACTCAAGCTTCCTCCTTCATAACACGTGCACAGGAAAGCATGTTGTTATAACTCAAACGTTTTAGTCTGCAATGTTAGGGGCGTGGCCTTTTTGACAATAATATGGCTGCTGTGAGGTTACTGTACTAACAGACCATTCATGAAGGCTGTGCAATTTGATTTGATGTCACTCTTGCTAAATGATTCTGCTAGCATTAGCATTAGCACCTCTGGAAACATGAACATGGAGGCATCACTAACCAGTGAATGACATCATGGCAATGCTGTGATTTGGTACGTTGAACTGAAACTGTGTGACGATATTTCCATCACAGCGTCCGATCCACTGCACGCCACCTCCCCAGAACCCTCCCCCTGCTTCCCGCTCCTCTCAGACTGTGACTGGACCTTCTCTTCCATGACAACCATCACTTTTTATCCAATGAGACCTGAATAACACCTGGGCTCATTTCCTCACTCCTAACAAATCACAGCAGAGTCTCCCCCTGCTGGACTGCAGGTTTAAGGCACCGTGGCCTGTCGGTGTCTGAGGTGGACAGGTCAACACTAAGCAGTGATGATGATTGGCTTCTTGTTAAATCCAGAATTCAAAATCCTGCTCCTCACATACAAGGTCTTAAATAATCAGGCCCCATCTTATCTTAATGACCTTGTAGTACCATATCAGCCTATTAGAGCACTTTGCTCTCGCTCTGCAGGCCTACTTGTTGTTCCTAGAGTATTTAAAAGTAGAATGGGAGGCAGAGACTTCAGTTTTCAGGCCCCTCTTCTGTGGAACCAGCTTCCAGTTTGGATTCAGGAGACAGACACTATCTCTACTTTCAAGATCAGGCTTCAAACTTTCCTTTTTGCTAAAGCATATAGTTAGGGCTGGACCAGGTGACCCTGAATCCTCCCTTAGTTATGCTGCAATAGACGTAGGCTGCCGGGGATTCCCATGATGCATTGAGTTTTTCCTTTCCAGTCACCTTTCTCACTCACTATGTATTAACAGACCTCTCTGCACTGAATCATATCTGTTATTAACCTCTGTCTCTCTTCCACAGCATGTCTTTATCCTGTCTTCCTTCTCTCACCCCAACCAATCACAGCAGATGGCCCCGCCCCTCCCTGAGCCTGGTTCTGTCGGAGGTTTCTTCCTGTTAAAAGGGAGTTTTTCCTTCCCACTGTCGCCACAGTGCTTTCTCATATGGGGTCATATGATTGTTGGGCTTTTCTCTGTATGTATTATTGTAGGGTCTACCTCACAAAAAAGCATCTTGAGGCGACTGTTGTTGTGATTTGGCGCTGTGTAAATAAAATTGAATTGAACTGATGATAAACAAGATGATGATGACCCTCTTTAGCTTTTTATACACACACAGCAGGACGGGTGTGTTGCTCGGTTAGCTCGTCATCTTGTCTTAACAAGCTGGTTATATGGCTAATGCTGCATGTCTGTGTGTGTCTGTGTGTAACCTTGCTATGCTGTGTGCTACACACAGGAACACAGCATAGCACGCTAGCTATGTGCAGATTGCAGCCATGCTAACGCACACACAGAAACGAATCATGCATGGAAATGCAAATCAGGTGGAAGACGGCAGCATGCACGCACCTCCCCAACACACACACACACACACACACACACACACACACACACACACACACAAAGCAGAAATCCACTGCAGCACATTTTTCTGATCGGAGGACAAAGAGGATCAAAGACACTCACCGAGCATCCTGCTGAGGAGGAGGAGGAGACAGCTATAAATTCATGGCCTCCTTCAGCAGCGAGCAGGAGGAAGAGGAGGAGGAAGATGGAGAAGCTGCTGATGCTGTGTGGATGAACCTGTCTGTCTGTGTGTGTTTGCTGTTTCTGATGCTTCACAGCTTCAGCCCTCCCTCCCCTTCCTCACTCTCTCTCTCTCTGTCTGTCTCTATGTGACTCACCCCCCTTGTCTGTCAGCTCTTGCCCCTCCCCTGCAGTGAGGCTGCCCTACTTCCTCCCTCTCTGCTCCTCTTTATCCTCCTTGTCTCCTCTGCTGGCCTGTCAGGGGTGCCCCCCCCCAGCAGCGCACATGTACGATACGTGTTGATGTGTTAAACAGGCTGCGGTTACACGCGGTTAGCCGCTCTGAGCTTCTTCTCTGGTCCTGTACGCACACACTTCCTGTCTGCAGCAGAAAGTGGAATTTTCCATTTGGTGTCATCGAGGCAGGAATCAAACGCCGCATCTCTCCCCGGTTTTATATCAACACCAACCTCCACACGCAGCCGCTCAGACGCTGCTGCATACGCTCGCGCCCAGCTTTAACTCAGGCGTTCATAAAAGTTTGGTTTTAATACTTCACGAACATGTTTACACACAATCCCCAAAGGCACTGGACTGTCACCTGCCTGAAAGGTGAAGCCTGTTCCCTCATCATTCCAGGACTAATGAAGCTGATAACAGATAACAGAGCTGATATAACCGTTAACTGTAAGCACGACATGAAAGATGTCAGTGAAGGAGGCCATCACTAGGCTGATAATACAAGAATAAAATAATCAGAGAGCAGAAACAACAATGAGAGCAGTGAGCAGCTCAGAAGAGTGGATGATGACAGATTTATTAAAATGATTGGAAACATAAGCCAGGTCAGGAACATGGCAGGAGCATCGCTGGGAAGCTGTAGACCAAGAGACAGAGAGTTTACAACAAGGTGCAAACCTCTAGGTGCACTCAGGAAGAACACACTGTAATACATCTAACAAAGGCTTGATGCACACTCGGTCATCCAGGTAGGTACATCCCAAAGGTTGATTCTGTTCACCTGGACGTTTTCAGTGGGAGAAACGTTTCATCATCATCAGGTGACTCCTTCAGACTCAGCTGACTAAACCTCATAAACAGTATATCTGCACAATGACTGAAGCTAGCATGTTGTCACTGCTCAGTGACAAAAACACTTGAGCCCCTGAAATGAGACCCAGGAAGTGGTTACAGGAAGAGGGTGATAGACTGTCTGAAGCAGTTAGAACAAGACAAGGCTATCGACCAGACCTCATACCAGAGCCACACCAAGTCTGTATGGTTTACTGAAGATACATAAACAGGGTGCACCTTTAAGACCGATTGTCTGCATGATCAACTAGGTCACCTATAACATCTCCAAGCTTCTGGCTTCGATCCTCAACCCGTTGGTAGGCAGCTCTGAACACCACATCCAGAACACCCTGGATTTTGTTGAGAAGGTGAGAGATGTCATTATGGAGGCAGATGAAACCATGGTCTCGTACGACATTACATCTCTCTTCACCATCCCAGTCACGGAAGCGTTGGAGGTAGTTCGTAAGAGACTACAGGATGACACCAACCTCAGCAACAGGACCACTCTCAGCATCCACCAAGTGTGTTTGAACTGTGTCTTCATTCCACCTACTTCACATACAAGGCTCAGTTCTACAGGCAGAAACATGGGTGTGCCATGAGCTCCCCAGTTTCACCCATCGTGTTACTGTAAGGTGACCTTGAGGGTCTGAAAGGCACCTATAAATAAAATGTATTATTACTATTATTATTATCGTGGCCAATTTGTACATGGAAGAAGTGGAAAAGAGGGCTTTGCTATCCTACCCTGGAACACCACCAAGCCATTGGTTCAGGTATGTGGATGACACCTGGGTGAAAATCAAATCTCAGGACGTACCACATTACCACATTAACTCGGTGGACCGACACATCAAATTCACCAGGGAGGATATGAACAGTGGCAGGTTAGCCTTCTTAGACTGTGAGATTTCCATCAGTAATGGGGGACATCTAAAAGCTGACGTGTACCGTAAACCTTCACATATGGATCAGTATTTAAGGTTTGACTCTCATCATCCACTGGAGCACAAACTGGGTGTCATCAGGACGCTACAACACAGAGCGAACACCATCCCCACTGACACAGCAGCCAGGGAGGCAGAAGAACATCAAGAAGGCCCTGAGTAAGTGTGGTTATCCCAGCTGGACTTTTGTCAAAGCTGGGAAGGCTCCTAAAGAAAGCTCCAGCTGATCCAGGAGAGAAGGACAACCGCTGCCCAAGCGAAAACCTGTAGTGATCCCGTACATGTCAGGAGCAGTTGAGACGCATTTTATCTAAACACCGCGTCTCTGTGGCTTTTAAACCCCAAACACGCTGCGCCAAAAACTGGTCCACCCCAAGGATCGGGTCGCCCGACACAAACAGAGTAACATGGTGTACGCTGGTAAGTGCAGGAGGATTGGCAGGATTTATACATCGGGGAAACCAAACAACCTCTGGCTACAACACAGAAGAGCCACCTCGTCAGGCCAGGACTCTGCAGTCTATCTACACCTACAGGCCAGTGGCATCTAAAGATGTGTTTGTGCACATGAAGTTGAGAGAAAGTTGTATGATGGAGAGAAAAGATGATGGTCTAAAGCATCCATTTGTCTAACATGATGGCGGCAGCATCATGGCGTGGGCATGTCCGGCTGCAAGGAAGCTGCTCTTTGGTGGTTACTGATGACAGCGCTGTGCTCTGTGGGTACGGAGCCAAAGCAAACTGCAAAAAACCCAACAAATGAGATACTCTTAAAGTCAGTCAGCTGATCTCAGGTCAGCTGACCAGATTTTCAGGGATTTAATACAAACTACAGTGACCTGCAGAGCATCTCAAGGAGGAACCAGCATGTGGTCCATGGGTACCTGATACAGTCACTGGCAGCAGAGGATTTTCATCCAAGTATTAAATGCAATCTTCTTATATAAAACCTAGAATAGAGGACTGTCTGATTGCTGAGTTAGTAATAAGGTTGGATTGTTAAAACTTTCGTGAACTGCAGCAGCATCATGAATTTTCACCGTAGGTTCCTTTGAGCCGTGAAGTTAGGGACAGTTACAGATTTGGGGGCTCGTCCAGGATACGAGCCTCATCATGCTGCACATCGAGTTTTGGGGATTTGGTACTCTGTGTCCTTACTGGCACTCCACAAGAGGAAATTTCAAAGCATACAGGATTTCACTTGGGAACAAACTGTAGTGTATTACTGCAATGAAACAGCTCAGATTAAATCTTGACAAACTCAGAGACCTGAGCGCTGCCGCACCATGCTGAATACTCAGGTGGTCATAAACTGACAGCGTCATGGAACGGCTGTGTGCAGGCAGGAAAAGGACCCAAAATGCAGACTCAACTGAGGCAAAACTTAAACTCAAAATGGCAGCTTTTATTGCTGAACAGAAATCTCAACAAAACCTAAACTGGGAAGAATCTAACAAAACACACACATGAAGACGCAGGGAGAAACACACAGCATGAGGGAGATCCCGACACAGAGAAACACAGGGCTTAAATACACTGGGAAATAACGAGGGGAATGAGACACAGAAGGGGAGCACAGGTGGGAGAAACAGACACAACGACAGCCAAGGGAAGCGAAACACATTCACGTAGGACACAAACCTTCAAAGTAAAACAGGAAATGTAACACAGAAACGCAGACTTCACTAGGGGATACAGCTGACAGGGGAGACAGAGCAACTAAGAAACACAGAGACCAACATAAAGGAGGCACAGAGGGCAGCTACTAAATACTCAGAAAACTACGACACTACACTCTATAGAATAAACCGGGGCAACAAAGAAGAAACTCAACACTGGGTCAGGAGACCCAGGATCCTGACAGACAGAGACCTGTGGTCTTCACTTTTATAGCACGCTGTAAATTATAGCAGGTTTACTCACAACACAGAGGATCAGTCATATGACATTAAACTGACAGGCTGTACTTGTACAACAAAGTAAGTGACCCCAGTGGAATTCTGGGTAACTGACTGTTACCTAGTGTCAGCTGCATTGATCTGCCCGGTCTGTAAGCTGCTGTGACGAGACAGTTTGGGCTGAGATCGAGTCCGACGCAGCGACTGCTTCAACCTGCGAGACAGAAAACCCTGAAGAAGAAATCGGGTGAAGCCGTATTAGCTGCTGTGATCAATGAGCGATGTTAAATTCACAGATATTCGATGGAGTTTGGTGTGGAGATAAATCCCACCAGCAGGTGGGGTCAGTCAGTTAATCTACAGCTGACAGCAGCTCAACTCCTGTTGCCATGGAAACAACAGGCTGATCTCAGCAGGCGAGAGAGAGAGAGAGTGTGTGTGTGTGTGAGGGAGAGAGAGCTCACCGTCACTCTGGCGGTGGGTGTGTCGGTAGTGGAGGCACTGGGCATGCTCTGTCTGCGCACCCCCATCTCTGAAACAGACAGAATGCATCATGGGAGCATTTGTAGTTTTTATCATCAATCAGCTGCCACGTTCTGCTGTTGCCATGGTAACTACCAGCGGTGAAGGAGAATTGTTGTTTTTTTAATTAAATTGTTTGATTAAATAAGTTTGATCAAACCTTTCATGTGATTTTAGTTGAACTTAAGTTAATTTATATTGTTTTTACATTTAAAATAACTTCATTTTGTTGTTGCGCAACATCTGTAAAGTTAGAAATATCCTGTCTCAGAGTGACGCTGAAAAACTAGTTCATGCATTTATTACTTCCAGGCTGGACGACTGTAATTCATTATTATCAGGAAGTCCTAAAAACTCCCTGAAAAGCCTTCAGCTGATCCAAAATGCTTCAGCAAGAGTCCTGACAGGGACTAGAAAGAGAGAGCAGATTTCTCCTGTTTTGGCTTCCTGTTAAATCCAGAATTCAAAATCCTGCTCCTCACATACAAGGTCTTAAATAATCAGGCCCCATCTTATCTTAATGACCTTGTAGTACCATATCACCCTATTAGAGCACTTCGTTCTCGCTCTGCAGGCCTACTTGTTGTTCCTAGAGTATTTAAAAGTAGAATGGGAGGCAGAGCCTTCAGTTTTCAGGCCCCTCTTCTGTGGAACCAGCTTCCAGTTTGGATTCAGGAGACAGACACTATCTCTACTTTCAAGATTAGGCTTCAAACTTTCCTTTTTGCTAAAGCATATAGTTAGGGCTGGACCAGGTGACCCTGAATCCTCCCTTAGTTATGCTGCAATAGATGTAGGCTGCCGGGGATTCCCATGATGCACTGGGTGTTTCTGCTTCACTCACTATGTATTAACAGACCTCTCTGCACTGAATCATATCTGTTATTAACCTCTGTCTCTCTTCCACAGCATGTCTTTATCCTGTCTTCCTTCTCTAACTCCAACCGGTCGCAGCAGATGGCCCCGCCCCTCCCTGAGCCTGGTTCTGTCTGAGGTTTCTTCCTGTTAAAAGGGAGTTTTTCCTTCCCACTGTCGCCAAAGTGCTGCTCATAGGGGGTCATATGATTGTTGGGTTTTTCTCTGTATCTATCTTTGTAGGGTCTACCTCACAATATAAAGCGCCTTGAGGCGACTGCTGTTGTGATTTGGTGCTGTGTAAATAAAACTGAATTTTGATTTTTTAATTTTATTATATGCTTTGATTTAGTTTTGTTTAGTTAAATATTTAATTTTATTTTCCTGTTTGTACCCATTTGTGTCCCAACTTGACTGAACCTTTATGTGTTTATATTTAAATTATAAAACAGAAATGATTCAAAAAGAGAAACCAATAAATAAAAAGTATTTCTCTTGTTTGATTTCTTTATTTGTGGACAGCTGCATGTTCTGTGTAGTTATTTTAAATTCAGTTCAAAATAAACATGAAACCAATTAAAAACTTCTACATAAATCTGTTTTAATATATTTGAATGTGAGTTTGTTTTTTTCAGCAGAGAGTAAAATCCTCCAATCACAGAGCACAAATTCTTTGTTCTGTTGATAAAAGTTACTGATGAGAGTTACTGATTAACTGTTTGATGGTCTGGGTTTTATTAAATCTGATCAGTTTTTCTGATGAAAGCCAATTCAGAATAAGTAACTGTGGTTTGCATGTTCTCCCCGTGTTTGCGTGGGTTCTCTCCGGGTACTCCGGCTTCCTCCCACCGTCCAAAGACATGCAGCTTGTGGGGATAGGTTAATTGAATAATCCAAATTGCCACTAGGTATGAATGTGCGAGTGAATGGTTGTCTGTCCCTGTGTGTTAGCCCTGCGACAGACTGGCGACCTGTCCAGGGTGTACCCTGCCTCTCGCCCTATGACAGCTGGGATAGGCTCCAGCGCCCCCCGCGACCCTGAAAAGGACAAGCGGAAGCGAATGGATGGATGGATGGATGGATTAAATCTGTACGAGAAAATTAATTTATGAATTCATTCCTTAATTCTTTTATTTGTTTAGACATAAGTAACATTTTTAGTTCATAGTTTTGTGTGAAAATAAAAACAGTATTTATAAATCAGTCATTCCATCGTGATGGAAATTTCTTCATGTGTTGATCACATGTTTTACTAATATCACTTTTGTTTCATTTAGTTATAAACATATAGGATAGCATCATAAATGTGGTTTATCACAGTGAGTGGGACAAGGGGGGTGGAGGGTGTGTGGATAGATAGTGGGGGCCCCCCTGCTGATCTCAGGGAGAAGGCAGGTGACATAGTCGCCATTCTCTTTGCGGGAATGTCTTTGTCACTGTGTTCGTATATAAGTAGTTGCATGTGGTCACATGTGTAGCAAAGATACAGCTCAGTAAACATGAAGAACAAGAACTGAGTTTAGTACTTTTCTCTGGATCCTGTATGCGATTAATGATTCAGAAATGGTTTTTTAAATAAAATTATTAAATAAAGAGTACTTTAGTATTGTCTTAATGAATAAAATAATTAAAGATCGAATTTAACGTAAAACAATTTTTCAATTTGTTCGTGTTTAAGCTCAAAGTCAGGAGTATCCACACCCACAGACAGTCGTTCCACCTCCTATTAATCCTGTCTTACAGAAACTGCACAGCAGGAGGCACTATGAGCTTGTCCTCACTGACCAATAGAGAAGTTAGCAAAATGATTACTTGTTTTCATAAACTCAACTCAGTAATGTACAGCACCAGCAAGTAAAGCGTTTCATGAATTAATAATTAATGATAAACTATACAATAAATGGTGGTCCCACTGCTCCTTTTCTATACAGTTACCTTTTCCTGTTAGCTACTAGATTTGCTATCGTATTTACTATTAAATTTACTATTAAATTTGCTAATGGATTAGCTTTTCCATCTACCCTTTCTGTGGCTATTTTAGTCCTTGGAGAAAAACCAATCCAGTTAAGCATGCAGTGCAACGTAAGCAGCTGTCTGATTGATTAGCGACACATAGGCTAGCTACGTGTTGCTGTTTGCTGTGAACGACTTTTCCAAGGAGATGTTTTAAAGTGTTTGTGCTGCTGCTTGGATATTAAGCCTTGCCTATCACTCTCTGAAAATGTACAGCGTGGACAAATGATGCATACAAAGAGAAACGGCAGTGAAATGGAGACCTGTGACTAGATACAGGTGGACTTAGCCTGACCTGATATAACACGTTGGAGGTAACATGGCTAACGCTAGCATCCCTGCATGTAGCCCCATCCTTGTAGGCTCATGCTAGCTTATGAATGTATGCATGTTATGAGTGTAGTTAGTGGTTACTTAGCATGTATTTAGTGTATAGTGTTGTGTGGTTAAAGGTTAGTTAGTGTGTAGTTAGTGTGTAGTGTTGTGTAGTTCGTGATTAGTTAGCGTGTAGTTAAAGGTTAGCGTGTAGTTAGTGTGTAGTGTTGTGTAGTTAGTGGTTAGTTAGTGCGTAGTGTACTCATTGTTCTGTCTCGTGTGTCAGTGACGGCACTGCTGAATGTCACTGTAGCTGTTAAGAAGAGTCCAGTTTGAATGTTTGTAATAAACAGAGTGTGAAGCTTAAATTAAACTGTTATTTTTAACCAACCTGTCTCATGCTGTGCAGCTTTCCAACCCACTTACTGGGCTTCATGCTTGGGCTAAAGCCAAGAAAACCTGCAGACTGTATTTATAGGAAATATGTTTTGATTTCCATGCCACCCTAAGAAGAATTCTCTAGACCCGCCCCTGGAACCAGCACCAAGGTGTGGGAGCAATGGCTCTAACCTGGAGCCGTTCCAACAGATGCTCTCTGTAGACACAGTCGCATCACCCTGCACGTTTCACTGCACGACTAGTTTGGTTTTTTTCTACAAGAGCTTAAAGTGTCGCAGAAAGGCTGAATGCACAAGCTAATCCCATAACTGGAAAAGCTTTGGGAAAGATTTAGGAAGAGAAGTGGAACTGGAAAGGAGGAGAGGAATCAGGATTTCAAATCACAATTTAAAAATTATTTTGGAAATCAGCTGTTTAATTGTGAAATTTGGAAATGTTTAGATTTTTTCTGTTGACAGCATTTTTTTTTTCTTTTCAATTTCTAATTTTTATTATTGGATTAAAAGTTGGTTTATATATATATATCGACATATATCTATATATATCTATATCTATATATATATATATATATATATATATATAAAAATATATATAATCTCTTCCTATTACGCAATACATGACCACATAATGAAGCACTTTAGTATCCGATACAACACATTTAAAATGATTTGTACTTTAACCTCCTAGGACCTGGTGTCCACATATGTGGGCATCACATTTTGGGTTGTCTAGACCAAAATACAAATTTTTGCTCTACAAGGGCCTGATATCCACTTACGAGGACATTATACTACCACTGTTCCATCAAAGTTTAAAACAAATGTCCTCATACGTGGCTCTCATTTTTCATAGGAACAAAAGTTGGGTAAAAAAAAAAAATCTGGTGTTTCTTTGTTTTTACATCGATCGGGTCCCAATCAGCCCAAATATCAAAGAGAAATTAAAAATGCTGCCGTGGAAGAGTTCAGGTCTTAGGAGGTTAATATTAATCTGTGACATCATCTATGACCGCGCTGATAAACTTTATTTAACCTGACGCGTCTCAGTGACCTGACATGGATCATACTTTCACCTGTCTCTGTGACCTTTGACCTCCGGACAGTAATATCCACCTACAGTCTCTCCACCCTCTGAGCTCCTAAGGAGTCGTCTGCCATGTTGCCATGGTAACACAGATTATGAGATTAATAATGTGACATGATGTGATGAAGCAGACGCTCTAATCCGGCTGCGCTCACACGAAAAACACACAAGCACTCGCCGCCGCTTCTTTTTCTTTTCTTACCACCGCAAGAGTCAAAGTCTGCGTCCATCATCTGTCCACCTGTCGGTCCACCTGTCTGTCTGTGTCTCAATGCTCCTGTCTGTCTGTTCGTCTGTCTCAGTCTTCTGCAGCTGCTTGAACCCGTCTCATCTTCCTTACCTTTGTGGGCGGGGCGAGAAGGTGCCGAGGTCACATGGAGCGTGTATCTAAGCAACCACACAGTGCAAGTCTCCGCCCTCTCTGTGAGGAGCAGAGGATGAACCTGAAGGAGGAGAGAAGGGAGAGAGGAGGATCCGATGTTTTTCTTCTGAAACCCCGATGCCTGACCTCTGACCTCTGACTGGATAAACATGAGAATATTATAAAGAATCATAAAAAGATGTCAGTTACAGCTCGTCCCCAGCCCTGGCCCCGCCCCCGTCTAACAGTAGAGGTGTGCAGGTGAGTCACCGCTGCAGGACTGAAGATAAACTCTCCCTGTAAACTCGC